GAAAATAACGACCATTAGTTTTGTGATTAATTGGGTGACTTTTAATAATCTGATTTTCAGACTATTTTGTGTGTGATTTACAGCTCACTCATTGTATGTTATTACCAAAGGAAAAAAAGAAGTCAGCCAGTCACTCAATAGTGTCTGACAGTGAATTCTAAAACGTAACCGGGTTTCCTTGCATAATTTGAATACTATTAGGACACTGCTAAAGTTTAAATTTCACAGTTATGACATACGTGACGTGTTCATAAATCCTGCAAAGTTCTACATGATTTAATGTTGGCTGAAAATGGGACATACTACCTTTAAGGCACACGAATTTAATTAAAAACGAAGACGTATATCCTAACATTTCAAGTGTTCAGAACCTCATTCCCTAGAGGGAGTGCCTTTTAGAAAGTTAATCTCATAATGGACAACGCCTCTTTGCCACCCTCCAATAAAATATGTGGGAAAATTCTGTAATGTGACCATTATTGATCGAAAAGAGGACAATAAGGAAGTAATGAAAGTCTGTCTGATTATTCAGGGGTATAATCGTAGTTTAATAAAAAAAAAAAAGGTCGAGCAAAGTGTTCATTAATGGGATTGTGACCCTTCGGCACTGTTTGGTAACGCGGTCACGATATTGGCTACCCACGTGCGTGGTTTGATATCATGCAAGTTGGTATATGAGTTTCGGATCCAGGGGTGGGGGCAGGGGCATCAAGCCCTTTTTTTTCTATATATCAGTACTCATAACATCGCACTACACGCACTTTTGAGGATTGGCGTGTGCCCCATCATTAATGTTACTTATTCTTTGGAAAGTACGAATAAAATGTTCGAATATGCTTCTCAGTTGTTGTATTATACCTTTTTTCATGCACATATAAGTTGTTTGCGAGCGCCATTGTGTTCTTGATGAACTCTCATGACGTTCTCTTGTGGAAACCTTTGAGTGTGCCCCTCATGACTACACTAATGAAGTTTTGGCATGCAGATCTGTATTTTTGAGCCACTCCGATTCGTAATTGGTTTTACAAGTGCCCCATACTTTTGTATGAACTCACGGGTTCCTCTTTTCATTAGCTTCAGTAAACTGAAAGCTCCCCCCCCCCCACCCCCATTTGTAAGACTCTTGAATCGCATGGCCCAATGGCGAGTTTTCATGATTCAATGCACGTAGACAGCGCTGTAGCTTTAACCCCTTATCCACTTGTCGTACTACTTGTACTATGAGGAGTTTCTGTCTGAAGGAGTACCATCTTTCTTTTGGCCGCCAGTGGCACGATTGGAGAGACAAGTACATTTTGGAAAATCTTAATTATATACTTTGTGTGTATTTAAAGGTACTTTGTCCATTTATAGGCCCCAAAATGAAAATGTTAAATTACAACAGCATTTGAAAGATTATACTAATTTAGATCTTCCCTTAAAAAAATGGGGGGGGGGTGGAAATGTCTTTAAATGGGAAAATAACGGCTATTAGTTTTCAAATCGACTTAAGAGCTATAGAGCCAGTAAGTAATAGTCAGATTTTCAGACCATTGTGCCGAATGGTTGTACGTTTTATGCTGCCCAAAGATTCAATCAGTTTAATTTTGGCCATTACAAGAAGTGGGTTATTTATGTAGACAAATGCTCATGTAACCTTTACAGCTCATTTTATGGATGTTATTATCGAAGAAGAAAAAAGCCAGTCAGTCACTCATTCGTGTCTGACAGTGAAGTCTAGCAAGTAAACGGGTTTCCTTGCATAAATTGAATATTAGGACACTGCTAACGTTTCAATTTCAGAGATAGGACATACATGACATATTCCTTATTCCTGCAAAGTTCTACAGAATTTGATGTTCGCTACAAAAGGGACATAGAATTAAGAAAACACTTAACTCCGTTTCATTCACAATAGGCCGTAGACGAAAGACTTCATGCATGGCTGATTGTCAACGAAACGGAGTTAAGTCTATTGACAATTCTGTTTTGTGCTACGGCAGGCAGCCAGTGAAAACGAATTCGATAAAATTATGGAAATGCAAGCACTACTTTAAACATACAAAACTTTGTTATTCCTGGCTCATTTTTCGTGATTGAGGTGTCATATGAAAGGGCAGAAACTCAACTTTCTAGAAATTTGATATTCCCTTTAAAATTCAGATATCGTCCGCCAAATGACTTTTTGGTTTTCTCTCTTCAAATTCATTTATTTCACTCATGCGTGAAATATGCATCAAGTGAGTTGCATCAAATGAAAGGGGAGGATCTAAGCTTTCCAAATATGTGTCATGTATTAATTATAAATGTGACTAAGTTATGATAAAACATCGATAATTCTCGGTTTCGTTTTTTCTGGGACGCACTGTATAAGAAGCCACTATTATTATTATCATTAATATCCTTTTCATATGAGGCGTATACTGTGGGCTTTATGTTTTTGTTGATTCTGTTAATTTATTCTTTATCTGAAAGCAGGCAGTTGCGTACGCCGGCTGCACCCAAGTTAGACTATCGTTCGATATTCTTTTTCAATTCGAATAATAACACTTTCGTCACAGAAAGATTAAACATCTGCTCATCGTTAGTGAAAAGTGCTAAGAAGGATAAGAAACATTACTTTGTAATCTCTTCACATCTTTATTAATGTGGTAACGTAGTAACGGTACCGTAATAGAATAGAAAGCCTTACAGCGGTCGTGCTGTGAGAATGAACTTTCACATTTCCGAAGACGCAAGCCGATAATCTCTCTCGCTTAGTAGCCCAATCTATCCAAATAACCTTCAAAGACATATACTATCAAATTAAAAGGATGGAAGCTGCTGGGAGGGAACAAATGCCAGCAAAGAATAATAAATTTAAGGTAGTTTTGTATACCTTATGCAAGCTATCAGGGATTAAGGGAGATGTTGTACAGATAATCGCTACATATAATGCTCTTTGATGAATAGATACACACGTGTCATATTAATTTTGCAAAAAAAAAGTGTTATGTTGTTTCGTGTTTCATGTTTTATCGATCCATTTCCTTTTAAATGTAACATCACATAGTTCTAGCATGAATAATGTTGGATCAATGTATTATTGCTCGTGGTTGATACTGTTTTAATTCAAAGCTAGCGTATGCTACGACGCGTCATAGGAACAAAAGATCTGAATTGTTTTGACAATGTTATATCCGTTTCTTTATCACTGGTAATCTTTTCCCTAAACTCTGAAACATTCTAATTGTCTTTATTGTTCTCATTTCACGCTAATTCGGGATGAACACATGCAATCAAAACCATTTAAGCAAAGAGGAGGACCTGGCTAAATTTGTAGTGAGATAACGACAGTGACGTATCCAGACATTTAAAAACAATTGTAGGCGGAATGTTCCTCGAAGCAGTGTTGCTACTGCCTGCATGCTGCAATTGTTTTTGCTATTTTTGCTGCTGCTGCCATCGTTTTTTCTTCTTTTTATTATTTCTTTTTTTAAACGGAATTGGACGTTCGCCAGCTACACCCTCTATACCGGAAATGCCCATGGACAGCAAGGCGTATACTATTCTAATGTGTGCTTGCGCAACATGGTACATATTGTCGAAACTTTATATCACTCCTGTGCTAATCATCTTGTTTTGCTGTGGACAATATTTTGGGAAACAAGAGATGACGTCTTCCAAGGAAAAGTTTGATACCCCAGTCAGACTACCCAACCGACTCTTACCATCAAGATCATGGCCATACAAGGCAATGCTACTTTTTGTTTGGCCTATTGTCGATCTGGGGGTGTTTCGCAAAAACAAATGACAAAAATCACGGACAAATCTGCTGTTAACCAATCAGAAGCAAGGATTTCAGTAGCTTAAAACAAAAACTGTCATTTGTCACTGATGACAAGTTTTGTGAAACAGGGCCCAAGTGTCGGTCTCGTTGGTGTGTCTGGGGTATAAGGGTCAAGTCTGTAATAAGGGTATCTACATAATATAATTTACTTATCCACGCAAATGACGTAAGGGACGTGATATAAGATATCCCCGCCATATTTCCCTCGGGGACGGCAATGCACGTATAGTTTGAAGTCGGGCTGTGCATTCAACAATAAAACGCGAACAGTGGCAACGCATGCACTTAAATTTATTAGCAGGGAGCACACAAGAGATGTTGTTAACAAAAACTAATTATTCAAAGAGTGCACATTGTATTGTGACTGTAGCTAATTTCCTTTATTTGTTATTTAAAAAACCCTTCACTACATATTAAGAAAACACCATTAAGAATACACTGTGAATAATCTATTCAAATTATTGACAGGAAAAAAAAACGACTGCTTGCAATAATGCCATAAGACCTACATGTATGTATTGTAGGTGGATGTAATGGCCTTCTTGCATGCGGGCTGCCGAAGATTTATGGATATAAAATCCTAGAATGTTTCAATGAGTTTAATATGAAATTAAGTAAGCCCTTAATGATGATAAGTAACATTCGAGATAAAGAGTTTTACGGGGAAGCAGGACGTGTATGTAAGATCTATGGACAATGTTACTTCGGGCCTTTAATATAACAGCGATTCACAGTAGCCTTTTCCGCTTTTAGCCTCATTCTTTTCCTCAAAACTCAAGATCGATGCAGGGAGAAAGAGAGGGGAGAGAGAGAGAGAGAGATATAGAGAGAAAGAGAGAGAGAAGGAAATAAAGAGAGCCTTTTTTAAATTTATTTTCTTCATAAGTTTTATCAGGCTTCATAGAATGAGGATAAGGACACTGTTTCATCAAACTGGTTTAATATATTTGCAAGGATCCCATAACATATTTTATTTTCATCTAATAAAATATACAGTGACTCTCTATATGGCGTAGCAGCTTACACTCTTACAACCAACTATATGAATTTAATATCAAGAACAAGTTGTTATTCAACACGACACAATATTACTAGAGTTCCTTCCCTTTAAACCCAAAACATAACTCGTTACTGTATCAACAAGACTGATTCTGTTCTACCTTTCCCGTTTCATCTCTTTTTATCTCTTTAGAGGCCTTAGGGTCACGTGACCACATGAAACTCCGCTCGGATCTGTTTTCGAATGGTCGATACGACAAGTCGATTCGACCGGTACGAAATATCTCCCAGACCACCCTTGTCGAGATGCAGTTCTTCGTTGCCCAGGTCTTAGATGTGGTAAGATATGGCGCTATTCCCGGATCGTTATCAATCCTTTTTCTCATATTTGCATTCCAGGGTTTTCCCAATATACAGTAACTCTTACTCGTTGAAGATGTTTTTTCTTCTACCTTTTATAAGCAGTCAAGTCCAGAGAAAGGAATTATTTATATTCATGCTCGAAAAAAGAAAAGATGCTCTGTTAAAATGACATTTGAGTATCGGTTAGCATACCCAGGTGCATCGTAGGTCATTTCGAGTTGGTGTGTCAGATCAAAGCTCCCGACTGTGTAACTTAAAATGTTCCTATAGTATGAATTAATTGAAGAGGAAGTCCACCCTGATATCTTGCATTTAATAAATGTAGAAAGATGAGAGAAGCAAATTAGTTAACAGTTTTAAAAGTATCCGATTAATAATAGGAAAGTTATGAATTTTTTAATTTGGCATCAATGAAACACAAATTGGCGACACTGTGACGGATCTTGTGAGCTACTCTCCAACTTACTCTGTACATGTCATATACTTTCACTTATTTAGTTATTGATGATGTAATAGACTTGTTACATACAAGGATTGTATAAAACCTATTTCCAAACAAATTATATTTAGGGTGAATGTATGATTGAACATTTTCTAAAGGGAAATTTTATTTTCTTTTTTGATTTTTTTTTTAATTCGAAGGAGACATCGCAAGATATTTCATCGCGTTGTGTTTGATCGATCGCACCTTCAAATATTAATACTTCCTTATTTTGTATCTGTTTTTGAACAAACTTTCACTGACCTGTTTGTTTCATTTTTCTCCTTCTATTAAACCCAATTTATTAATCAGGGTCGAATTCCCCTTTAATACAGAATGTTTCTGTATGACGAATTTTCAAGTGAGAAATAAACGGTTCTTGGACTTAATAATTTCCTGATAGATATGTTTCTTCCAAATAACAAGCAGGTCAAAAGAAGTGATTCATAGAGGTTTGTCTGTCTAAATATCGAATTTTGCGATTGAAAGGGGTTGGACCTTGTTACCCCAACCCCTTGTGATAGAAAGAATTATCTTGTATTCAAGGAAAACGTTGAAATATCTAGTTGTTGACAGGTTTATCATTGTTTATATTCGATTTTAAATTGATAAACGATATGATGAAAAAAAAAATGGCCAGCAAAATAATGCAACGATCTTACAGAAATCAAAAGCATGGAAAATGTCTTAAACAAAACGATTCATATTTCTATGAAATAACTTATACGATATCAGACACTAAAACTGATTCAATTTTAAATATTCATTGGGCCAATTGCACTGTTTTCACGAACTGCACACTTATAGAAAGGCCAAGGCTTGAATACTACGCATGTAAACTTCCAGAAGTTTAATGTTTTTTCCCTGGTATTATCTTAATACAGGACGAACGATCAGAGACCTTTAAAATTAACGCATGGTTAACTATGGTAAGTACATTCTTTTTCAAATCCCCATGATAAACCTTTAGGCCCTTCACACACTATGCGATCTGACTACGATCCGATTTCGGAAGTCGTAGAAGGGAAAGAAAAATCGGCTCAAAGTCGTATTAACGCCAGATCAGTAATGCGATTGTATACGATTTGAAACCGATTCGACTTCTGACAAGACCGCTTAAATGCATTACAATTTCGGTTGTTAGTTTTGTTATCATCCTTCAGAACTTAAATCCCTATGATTAACCATTAAGCCCTCCGCACACTAATTACCATCCGCTTTTTGAAGTCATAGAAGGGAAAGCTAAATCGGCTCAGAGTCGTATTGACGCCAGATCAGTAATGTGATCATCTACGATTCGGAGTAGATTCGGCTTTATTCTGCCAAAACGCTTAAATGCACTACAATTTCGGTTGTTAGTATTGTTATCATCCTCCAAAACCTAAATCCCCATGAAGAACCCTTAGGCTCTTCGAACACTATCTTACTACGATCCCATTTTGGAAAAAAGGAAAAGCTTAATCGGCTCAAAGTCGTATTGACACCAGATCAGTAATGTGATCGTCTTCGATTCTGAGCCAGTTCGGCTTTATTTCTGACAAAAACGCTTAGATGCACTACAATTTCGGTTGTTAACTTTGTTATCATTATTCTAGAACCTAAATCATGAAGAAGATGTTTGTTTGTCTTTTAATTTCTCCGAGTGTTACATAATATAAGTTAGGGGCGTCACCTTAAAGTTGTCATTCACGTGGAGTCGGAGATATCGATGCAATGCGGCAGGCCCACCGCGAAGGCATGCATATATATATATATATATAATTTAAAAAAATTCATTCGCCGATATTTGGTCAAACGTTAAAAATTATCAAATTTCTCCGACATAACGCTACGAATGACTCGATATACCGGAATCTGTCATTTAGGAGACTTAAATAGACTACCCACCACACAACAGCTCGTTTTGCATAATTATATCAGAACTGTCTCATTTCATTTTTGTTTTCGCCTGGTAATCTAATTTTCGAAGGTAACACAAGTTTGTATATTACAACTATCTTGACCATTGTATTTTTACATTTGCAAATCTTAAAGCTGGAAAATACAAGCCTATTGCTATTTCTTAGACTTTTCATATTTAGTATTCCCTCTTGTGTCTTCTAATTATAGTTCATTTGTATTTGAAAGCAATACTTTCTGTAAAATACTGATAGTATATGTCTTTTACTATTCGAATATCTATTTATTTATTAATTTATCGATTCATTTACTCATTTATTTATTAATTCCGTGTTCTTTATACAAGGGAGTCTCTTCAGTTCATTAAAAAAATGCTTTCCGGGAGAGCCCCGTGTAACAAAAAATAATGATACAATGTAGAGCAATAAACAAATAAATGAATAGTAAGATATTACAATACATATTTAAACAAAACAAGAACAAGAAAGGAAAGAGATGATGGAAACAAATAGTGGACACTATCTTTTTCTTCTTCCTATGACTTCTTAGTTATCTCTGAGAGCGTAACATTGAACCTTAAAAAATGGTTCCGTTGGGCGATCAAGGGTCGATAAATTGAATGTTGGCTCACTAGGCCAGCTAAAAGTTCACCGGATATTTGCCGACGGATCATATTAAAAGAAGAAGGAGTGCACAATCAAATACCAATGACGTGTATAGGTTTTCTTTTTGCATACAGTAACTTCTAGCTTGTATCTTCATGGTCTAGTCCTTATATACGTGTATATTATATATCGTAAAGAGTTTAAGGAACTAATCATAATAATTACGTTACAAGTTTCAGGTATTTACTTCACTTTAGCTGCTCAATAAAATGTCACTTACATTTTTGCGATAAGTTCATTATTGCAAACATTCAAAAGATGAAAAATAAATGTATAATTAATTGTTAACAAAGTCCAATCAAACTACCGTTCTCCAGACTCTCGCAAAACGTCGGAAGACTTTCAAACGTTCACAATGCCTTTATGTACGCCCCGAGTGCGTGTTGTGTTCCACGGGACAAGGTTAAGTGTTCTATTCAAAGAAAACCTAACATCTAAAATGCATTCCTAAGTTATTGGAAAGAAAATATTTTTCCCTAATAAATTCTTGCATATTACAATTTAATTTCAATCCCCACATTTACAAATATTTTTTTGTAAGGTATACAAATGTATTTTTTCATAACATTCCAACTATTTGCATCTATTCGATAATTGCCCTAAATAAAAAGCAACGGGCCTACACTACACATCTGCGTTTGTTCGTCACTGAAACATAGCACGGGTTTCTCATAACTGATTTTTATTCCGCAAATGGATGGCAATGACGCAAACCATTCTCAAGACGACGTTTGCATGCCAAGCACTCAATTTCCGATGTTGGTAAAAACATCTACTCCTGTTTAAACCTTCTACGCAAGCATAATATATATTTAAGCTCGTTCTGAAAGGCTACCGTATGCTTCTGTATGGAGGGTTTCCAGTATTATAACAAGACGCTGTTTTCAAAAGATATGAACTTCGAAGCATGTAGAGCCATTACATGATAAAAACCTTTCAAAATAAAATGAACAAAAAGGGATATCCATTATAATGCGAGATGGTAGGTAAATGGGATATACATATCAATTTATGTATGAGACAGCAGAAAAAATGAAATGAATAGATAAAATATATTCCATTTATGGAATGGTTGGAAAAATGCACATTGTATATACACTTATTCATGTTTTAATGCGTGTCCTAGGAGGGTTGCCCATTTCGTGAAGCCGGGGAATTAACATAAATACGTGTGTTTATTTTTATGACAAGTTGCGTATATTATTATTGATTGCAAGACTGGGAATGAAACATACATGTAAGCATCCGTGATGGGGAAATCTTAGCTGAATTCACCTTAAAGAGAAAGTTGAGTTTGGGGTTATTTGATTACATCTGAAAGAAAATGTCTGGTAGCCATCGTGAAGCAAACATTTGTTTTGAAAGCATTAGGAAAAAGTTAATAATGTAGTCGTTAACATATTAAAGACATTTTGTTAATTACTCTTAAAGGTTATGGAATGATCAACATGACTATAAAAAGACTCAGTGTTTCTTCAAATCACATTTACTGCACGCTGAAATCGGAATAAGAAACTACAGGCTTACATGCGGAATGAAAATTTGGTCAACAAATTTCAGCCATTTGTCTTCATAGGTCTGTTTCAGGGGATTGTAATTTTGTATCCGATATTTCCACAATAATGTTCTTCAAAGCTGACATCAACTGAATGAAGAGGCTCACAGCTTATTATTCAACGTAACCATAACCCAACCTTCTCTTTAAGATGGGTCATCAATTAAGATATTACATGCTTTCTGCTTCCTTGCTATACAGCCCTGACCTAGATTAGTCAGAGCTCATTATAAAATTTCTTCCATTCTTTTGCAGCAGACGAAAGATGACCCCTCTGTTTCATAAAACATACTCGTACACACACACACACACGCACACACGCACACACACACACACACACACACACACACATACATTCATATACATCATATGGAAACTCTCTGCTAAAGAAACGGAAAGAAAAGAAACAAAAAGAAACAAAAACAAACCACAACACGAACAAACAAACAAATCTACAGAAAATGAGAGAAGACGTGTTTTGGTGTTCTTTTCCATTTTCTATTGAAAGGCGGGGATCTTGTACCTACTTTAATAAATTCCATGTTTCAAAATTGGCTACGAAGTCTTACAAAACTACTCAACGAAAAGACAATGACTAACACGCACTCCAACAGCAGACCCCACACACACACACATACACCACCTCACACACACACACACACACACAAAGGTTAAGTCCATCAAACTTGTTCATGGTATTGCCCGTATACGTTAAGAGCTTTAAAGGTTTTGCACTTTCGTTTTAAAAGAACATTAGGTACAATCTATCAGGGGCGAATCTGGGGGGGGGGGGGGGTTCGGCGGTTTACCCCCCCCCCCCCTTGGGTGGCCAAGTGAAGAAAAAAAGGGAAGAAAAAAAAGGGGGAGAAGAAGAAGGAAAAAAAGAAGAGCAAAACGTAAAACAATCAAACGGCGCGAATTTTGGAAAATCCTGGATCCCCCACTGGTTCAACCCCCCCCCCCCCCCTTTGGCAAAAAGCTAGATCCGCCCCTGGCTATTCAAATCAGTACTAGATGCGAAAGCACCTATACAGATCAATTCATGGGGCGGTTTTTACCAAGGTTTTCATGTGGATGAAGATTTCAAAATTCATGAAACCTTTTTATTTATATCACATGTGTTACGACTTACGGGATACTTTACGTCTGACCGGGAAATAGCCCAGGAATTGTCCCAAATTTCCTGGCGAATGAAGCCGATTCGTTGGCTGCCCGCAAAAAGGCCTTTTTACCATCGAAAATAAATAGCATGTTAATACGACCTTGTTTGTGGATAGCGGCCGCTGTATCCTGTTAATTATTTCTTATTACAATACGATTAAGAAAAGTGATGTTTTATTATTTCTTCGTCCAATGAAAGGATTACGTGTGCTCACCCTTTACAAAACTGAGAAAACAGATCATTGAACCCTTTTTGTTTGCAAAACGAGTGCCTAAAAAACAAAAGATTTCACCAAACGTAGGCGTTTTTAGCTATCTAGAATCCCCTCTCAATGAAGTTCAAGCATTCTTTACTCTTTTTGTATTCATCTAATTCTCCTGAAACTTTCATGAAACTGTTATTGAGGGTTTTTTTCTTTCAATATTTACGTCTAACTTCACATCAAGGCTGGATTAGCCTTTCATCATCGCACCCGTGGGAGGTTTGAGGCAAACTTGAATATTCAGGTAGACGCAATGACCACGGGTATTACCACATGAGCGATTTACCTTGCTTCCTGTGGGCTATTTCATTCAAATATAAGCAGAGATACTTTATTCATGACGTATCAATCAAAATTGACGTTGTGTGTGATTCGTCCGAAATGAGCCGGAAGACAATATCATAGGGTGAATTCATGATGAATTAGGGTGATTAAGCGTTATTGTTTTTCCTGTAAGAGAGGAAATTACTTAAAGATAAAGACCAGTTATGGTCATGCCATTGCATTGTGAAAGAAACGTTGTGGAATCGATCAGAAAAGGTTGATCATCTAGCATATAAGTATTGGTGTGTACCGCAAGGTTCTGGAATCATCAAAATGATAAGAAATTTGGCCCAGTCTACGTAAAGTTACAAACACTGTACACAGACAGATGTATATGGGACTACGCACACGTGCGCGACACGTGCGTTTATCTCTCATACACTAATAGATAAACTAATTTAGCAAATATATCTTATCTTTAGGTGGTTTCCCGGCAAATTTGTTATCATCATGTATTAGTCAAAACATACTCTTTCACATTATTGGTAATAACAGCTTCCATTTCATTTTTTGAAATTGGGGCGTTTCCAATACTGGTTTTTACCTTTAAAGGGATAGTTGAGTTCTGTTTTCATACCGCAAATGCCTTCAAAGTGCACGGCTATTGCTCTTATTTTAATATATGACATTTCTAGTGCCATTTTAGGAGCTCAAGTTGCTATGAAGGTAATTCAGCTCGACTTTCCGAAAAATACGGTGACGGTAAATTAATTAATTAAAAATAGCAATACATGGGCCAGCTTGTTAGAACTCTTTTGAGTATTTAAATGTGCCGCGGGATTCCATATCCTCAAACTGCTGGCGAACAGAGCAACAAGACCAAGTAGTGCCGTGTTTGTGCCATCGAACTGGATCGACCAAATCAATTGATTCATATTATATATATATAATTTTCCCGTAACATGAGAGTAATTTTAATAGTTTCATACTATTAATTAAATGTAATGTTAACTGTTATTGTATAATTGTTTTAAATGAGGGCACGCAAGAGTCCTATCTCGCACCCCGGGGCAACGTGTCTGACAAGGCCGGTTGTAGCAAGTACTCCGAAGATCAAGATACATTAATCTTGATCTAAGGAGACACGAACGAACGAACCCCCATCCCCCACCCCCCCCCCCCACCAAAAAAAAGAAAGATATATATATATATATATACGTATATATATATATATATATATATACATCCCCACCCTCACGGGCATAGACAAAACTTTCTCCATGAGGGGCTTCACACCCTCGCAAAAACAAGGAATGTATATTTTTCATGGACTATGCTAGAATCAAAATTGTATATGCGAACTATGAAATGTTGTGCTTCATTGGGTTTACGATCACTAGAAGCAACGATGCGTGGCAAATGGCGCAGGATGTATAGCGAATTAACGTGATTTCTTTTAATAAAGCCTTACTTTACTAGTGAATTGCTTAAGAGGGTTGGCTATTCCCGGGAAGACAAACTTGTGCAAATCCTTCTGATTTCAATTTTTTTAATTTTGTTTTGCAGAGATGGCACGATGACTACCTGGTATGGGAACCAACGCGGTATAACAATGTCAAAAACTTCAAGATTACGAGAGACGACGTTTGGATGCCGGATCTATGGCTGTACAACAAGTAAGACAAGTACAACAAGTGTCGTTATTCTAAAACTACTTGACTGTTTCTTTGGTACCAAGTCTAAAATCTGTATCAAAATTACTCGTCACAACAAACACAATTGTAAAGACTGTCAGCAAACGAAAGCTAAGGCAATTTAGAAAGCCATGTCCGTCACCCTTCGTATTGTGCGCACGGGATCTTGTCACATTTTACAGTCCAAACAGGTTCATAGACAAAATGATAGGGTATTGAAATTGCTCTTGAATTGATTCTTTAAACGTTTATGCGATCAAGTTTAGAGTTTGTAGTTATATTCATGTTGACTTTGACTATCATCGTAGTTCTCAATCACATATTCACATCGATCATCTTAATTTATCACCTTGTTTGGGAATCCCAGGTACAATACTAGGAAGTTTCAGTACAAATCTATTGTCTACAAAATTCATATACGACGAGATTTAAAATGTAAGTCTTATGTATGATACTTCTCCGAATAACTGAAAGTAGTTCCATCTAAAAGAAAATAAAAATAAAGTGATTGTTGGTATAAATCCGACCGCAAACCTATTTCGAGTCATATAACTTTCACGAAATAAAGCCCATAGCAGCTATTTTTTTTTTAATGAACATCTAGGTGTTTCTTTTAAAGGTTCAGTAAAATTATAAATAATGTTTTCCTTCATTTGTCTTCTCTAATCTGTGGTTTTAGTGCTGGAAGTCGGTACGAGGACTACGCAGCCCATTCAATCTGCAGTGTATATCATACAGGCAAGGTAGTTTGGCAGTCACCCACCATCATTAAGACACATTGTACCATGGACGTCACAAACTTTCCCTTTGATGTGCAGACCTGTACCGTGACCTTTGGCCCCTGGCAACATGGCGCTAATGAAATTATGCTCAACGGAACAGGTAATGTATATAGATATCCTTCCTTTTAATACAAGTCGCACGCTTTGATTATGCGATCTACCAATTTAAGATCGATGCCATGGATAACATATCCCCCTGGTCGACTTAAAAATGGAAGCAGCAAGAGGGAGGGGCAAAATCTCCCCTGGCCCACTTTTAAAGGTTTAGACCAGTTCTGGTCATGCGATTGCATTGTGAAAGAAATGTTGTGGAATCGATCAGATAATGTTGATCATGTAGCATATAAGTATTGGTGTGTACTGCAAGGTTCTGAAAATAATCAAAATGGTAAAATATTTTGCCCGGTCTTGGTAAAGTTACAAGCACTGTACACAGGAAGATGTATGTGTAACTACGCTATATCTATCCAGGCCGGATCGATATGATAATTTACCAAATATATCAATTGGTATGCGGTTTCCCGGCAAAATTTGTATCATCACGTATTATTCAAAGCATATTCTTCCACATAATTGCTAATAAGAGCTTACATCTCATTTTTGTGAGGAGGTGGGGGGGGGGGCGGAGGGATTTCCAAAACTAGTCTATACCTTTAAACTCCAAGCATGCATAGTAACTTAAGTACTCACAAAGTAATGCATTTTCTCTTTGTCACAGGTTTACTGGATTGTGCCTCTCCAAAATTTGACAAAATCCTGTATCAGCCCCTTTTTTTAATACCCCATCTCATTTTTTGCCAACCCACTCATGGATTAGTGACAATGTATGAATTGGTTTTCTTCTATACTGCTACTGGTACGGTCAGATGACACTAGTTTCTGGTTGAAAATTAAATTCCTCGCATTGATAATCAGATAATGCTAAGAATGATTGAATTAGCAAAGATAATTTCGCGATTCTCTTCTCTATTAAAAATGTAAGGGTCGGTGCAAAAGTGTGATTTTTGTGAGGCAGGTCATGTAGTGAGTGAATGCAAAGCGTATTGCGGTAATGTTATTTATCAGGGTTAAGATATGCAATACAACCCAGTCATACCAAAGAGACAGACCCCAATAGCAATCCCCAAAACCCAGCAAACGCCCCCGGTCGAATGGAGTTAATCTGGGGATGTGAGGTGAGACAAAATTGAGGTACAATTTTGTCATGTAAATACGTGTTTAGGCATTCAAAAGAAGGTACAGAATATCTAATAACTATAATGTAATAGATGCTTCTTCTTTTTGTCGTTATTACCCTCTTCATGCCCTTCATAGTATGTACATAGTGGAGTTCTATACAAAATACTTCCCTTTCCAAAAGTTTATCATTTTAGGAAGACTATTCCTTGACCTTATTACCTTATTACATCGATCATTCTGAATATTTAATAGGCAACGTGCTTTATCATCATGACCACGATGACCATAAAAGTGTTTCCTGTTAAACGACAGAAGAATACACTACGATATGTTATGAGCTAACTGTATTACTGGATAAAATATGACCCATTAGGAAAAACGAACGTTGGTAATAGGGCAGTTGATCTCGACTTTTATTACCCGAGGTTAACTATCGTTAAGTTCGATGCAAATTAATTGAATAGTTATTGCCTATGACCGAGAACTTGTGTCCAGAGAGGGAGCAGCATTTCGTGAGAAATTCTGTTCAAGGAACCTTTCATAAATCTACCTTCTAAGATCAAATTTAGTGTTAAAATGGACTTATAAAATATAGGCAAAGATGAATTCAAGATTATCTGAAGGGGTGCTGGCGAGTGTTTAAAAATCATGAAAGTCACTGATATCAGGCCTCATACATATCATGAACAATATATTTCAGGGAGGGCAAGGAGGGGGAGGGCGATTTTCTCCCTGCAAAGATCCGCGTTTGAATAATGATAATAATAATAATACTCAGTTTTTATATAGCGCAAGTTACAATTAAGTCTCTAAGCGCTGTGAAATAGAAAAAAAAATCAATAAGTGAGTACAGAAGAAATGAAATGATAAGAACATAATAGCATGATGAATATCCAAACTGAAACTACATGTCCATGTATAATACATTGCATTGTATAAAGAATGGTACACAATTACGTTTGAAAAAGGTAAGACTTTATTAAACAGAGGCTTGCATATATCAAGAGAAGAACATTCTTTAATATTAATAGGAAGTTTGTTCCATAGTTGAGGGACTGCATATTGAAATGCTCTATGCCCATATGATATTGTAGATACCGTAAGGGGGACAAACAACTGTCTTGAACTAGAACGAAGCTGCCTAATTGGATGATACTCATTGAGAAGCTGTTGTAAGTAGAGAGGAGCCAATTTATGCTGAAATTTGAATTCTATTACAAGTTTAAATATTAATCTATCTTTAACTGGGAGCCAATGTAAATGAGCCTGGCAGCAGAATTTTGTATTCGCTGCAGTCTACAAATCAGTGTATCAGGCAGACCGTACAATAAACCATATTAGTATGTGAAGCCTTCATAGGTGATTTTTCTAAGCTTTCGTTTTAAATTCATCTTTTTTGTTGGTGAAGGGGTTGCTTTTGTTTGTTTGTATTTTATTTTGTTTTTTTGAAATATGATACTTTATAATGAAAAAGAAAGAAATAATTGTTATATCATGGTAACTCAATACAAATAACATAAATAGACATTTATAACATTATATAAATACGTTTCAATTTGGTTGAAGAATGGAGAGTCAACATGCTAAAACATATAGCAGAGAGTAAGTTGTCAAACGATATCACAGAACGCGTGTTCCGGGAGTTTTCGGCATTATACTGTGATAGTTAATCTACTAAAAGGAAGCAAAAATGCATTTTATCGCGTGAGCGTGAGCCACCAACCGCCAAATTATACCATGTATTAGGGGAATATGTAATATAACGATGCAGGAGATTGCATCTTGGGGCCCTGCATTATGAGCCAATCATCTATGTCATTTAATCGGAAAATCCAGGAGGTAATGGACGAATTATACTACTGATCGAACGACTCAACGAGATTGTCACAAACATATGATGTTGATTGCTTTTAATAATTTTATTCATGAAATGATTGCGAGGTGAATTGGACTGAAAAAATTATCATGTAACATAACAATTATTTCAGAGCAATTATATTCTATATTGGTATGTTACCATCCTATACACATGCACTGGAAAAAATGAGGGTACAAAGTGAAAAGGTTGGGCAATATTTTCCAACACTTCGCCCAACGTTGTGCCAATAGTAAAGCAAACCATCTATTGGGAAATATGTTGCCAAGTGGTATTGGTAAACGTAAGTACGTGCATAATTGTATCGTATTTTGCCAAACAGCTGGTCAATATTTTCCCAACAAGTGGGCTGCCGTAGTCGGGCAGTTAAAGGGTCATATCTTTGCCCACATTTTGGACAAAATACAAAACAATTATGTGTGAACTAGGGTACTTACGTTTAACAATACCACTGGGCAACATATTGTCCAATAGATGGTTGGGTCGACTCCTATTGGCACAACGTTGGGCAAAGTGTTTGAATATAGCATTGTATGCTTTATTTTAACCAGATAAGGGCTACTATGCTCTATTACTATGCTTTTATCGAAAATGTGTTTGTAACACATATTTAGCTAGTTAATTCGTTCCTTTAGCTACCGCCTTTAGTATTCAATATCAATATTTAGTATTCTAATTGTTTAGGATGTTTGATTTAGTATCACGTTAAGAATATATTTGTTAAATTGAACGGTAGAGGTGTGGCAACATTGCAAGGCCTAGGTTTATGTTACCAAACTTTTGCGTGTTCTCCATGCTGTATAGATGATTGTAACTGCCTTTTAAAGTTTATTGTTTTTTAAGTTTTTTTAATCTCATGTTTAGCAAACCATGTAAGCTAAGGAACCATGTAAAAATGAATGAATGAATAAATAAATAACTATGCTATTTAGGATTGAAAATACATGTCCCCTACCTCCACCTTGAAAAGCTAAAGGGAATATAGTCACTCTTCCCCATCTTAGCCATTGGGTATTCCCGTGACCATTTTGCAATTATTCGTTTATGAACCGGTTTATAAAATATTGTAATATTTTTATACTTTATTTTCCCTGATTATTTCTTTTAGGGTTTTTTTTTGCTATTGATGTTGTTGTTACTCCTCAAAAAAGTCTTTTCAAATGAACCTTAATGCTATTAATTGCCAGAAATTTTGTTCCATTCAGTCTGGTTGTGCCCAATGTAGCTGCCTTCTGTATGTCGTAGATCAGAAAAATGAGAGATCTTGTTTTTCTATTTTATTGATTAATAATCATTACCACCACTGTTTTCATTAATATTGCTAATATCATCAGTGTAATTCTATTCAATTCATGTATTTCCTGCAATTTCTGTCACAGGTTCCGCCGACAAATACCTGAGGAGCTCCAGTGAGTGGGAGATAACGTCGTTCCGCGCCAAGGCCAACCAAGAACCTTACCAAATCTACTTGGACGACGAGCCCATCCTCTACAGTTACGTCGAATACTCCGTCTTCCTCCGTCGCATCCCGACCTACTTTGTCTTCAACCTCATCATGCCCTGCACCCTCATCTCTGCCACCACCTTCCTTAGTTTCTTCCTGCCACCAGAGTCCGGGGAGAAAGTGAGCCTTGGCATCACTGTCCTGCTGTCTTTGACTGTCTTCTTGTTGCTTGTTGCGGAGCTTCTACCGCCCTCTGGCGCTGTGCCTATCATTGGTGAGTTGGCTCCGATGACCAGGGGGTGTTTCACAAAGATCCTAAGTTGAACTTATCTCTAAGTTGGACTTAAAAATTATGGAGAGTCATTTGTAGCCTTATTTTGAAATATATTCAACAGCAAACATTCAAGTATTTTAGACGTTTCATAAATTCCACATCAAGAACATTAAATCTCCTTGACAGATTTATCTGCCTTAGTGATCCATCACTTCAATTTCAAAAGTGGCAGCCAGCATTCACGCTTCGTTGTAACATAATAAAAAGAGATCACGCATGGTTTAACAAGATTTTTGATAAATATATAAATTAATAAATGCTAAAGCCGCACCATAGTCTCCTTTTGGTCTTTGTTGGTATGGCTTAAGATCTGAATTTTCTTAAAGACGCATAGTAATAGAATTCTTTAACATTTGGGCGTTTACCCAATATCAGGCTTTGTCAGGATTAGCCTTCAGTTTTGTAAGCAACAGGCCTTACGTAATGCTCTGCATTTTCCACCAATCACCCCATATGGAAAAACCATTCTCTTACATTTCCCTTACCTGAAAACTTTCCGAAAGACTAGGGGTTAGTTTTTATGGGGTTTGATGGGACTTGTACACCCATTAAGTTATTTCCACCAAGTATGGTGTCAGTGAAATATGGCCTACTGCATATGGATACCGACTACCATCTCCCTCTAACGAAGATACTCGATCATAAGCCTACACAATCACTGTGTCCTTGTCCTTTTTCATCAGTAAAGATACTGCAGGGTATTTTCGTTTCATCATAAATTGTGATTTAAAACGGTCGCAGAGACTTTTGAAAAAAACAACCGGAGACAATTTCGATAGGCTTGACCATCTCCCATTGAAATGTGCGAACATTGCTATTAGTAAAGTCACACTACGTTACCATAACACGATTTCTATTGGATGTAGAACAGAGTTTGTAGAATTGCCTCTTGATCGATTTCTCGAAAGTGTACATTTCCAATTGGGAATTGGATTGATAATGGAAAGGTTATACATGTGACAGACTAATTCTTTATGATTTAACCTAATGGCAATCTTTGTTGTTATCTTAACTTAGCAATATACTACGCAGTTACCATGGTAATGGTATCTCTATCGCTGGCGATGTCGGTCGTAGTACTCAATCTGCATCACCGCGGACCCGAAACAAGCCCGGTACCACTCTGGTTACGGAAGATCGTCCTTGGGCGTGTGGGCAAAGTGGTCCTCATGCGGAAGACATCTTTCAACCAGGAGATCTACTACCGAAGCAGGAAGTCTCAACAGTGCCAGGGAACGAGGCTCCTGAACCACTACGAGATGGATTCTTACGACGGGAATTACTGGGAAGAGCACCGGGATGTAGCCGAATCCAACAGCAACGGCGGCAGCACCAGGTTGGATCGTAACGATAGACATACGAGACCGTGCTCGCAGCCCGTCACCACGCACAGCCGCAGCTCTTCTAACTCTATGCGCATGCGCGAAATCAACCTCTTGCGAAAGATCCACGACGACTTCCGGTATTTAAAAGAGACTCAGAAACGGAAGGAGCACGAGCAGAAATGCCACAACGAGTGGAAGCAAGTGGCTTTGGTTGTTGATAGAATCTTTATGTTTATCTATCTGATTGGTATGATTGCAACCATTTTGATTATTGTCACGCAGGTTACATCGTGAGGGAAGATCAGGTCGAAGCGCCATCGAATGCGTTGCTCCAGATCTTTCATTGTTCGCAGAAGCTCTACCCTAAAGCACAGGGAAATCGAGCTTCCAAGGGCAACCAAAATCGACGATATTGTTTCAGGCCCAAACCGAAATGTCGGCGATTCTGCTTTGTGTGTAACAAAGATTACTCTTCACTTTGTCGGGTTGGTCTCAAAGATCCCGAGGATGTTGTTGCCATTGTTGATGACAGTGGTGATCAAAATCTCTTCATAAGCAACATCCCATGCTCAATCTTTTCAATTTCAATCCGCAAAAAAGAAGGTCGCAGTATCTGCATGCTTTGACTCGCCCTTCTTTTAAGGGGTGTAGAAACAATGAGCACAGATTACCCACAGTGATGTGGGATATGAACGAAGCTAATACGAATACACGTGTTACATTTTGATGGAATATAATTATTATTTTGTAAATACGTTTTGTTGCGGTGTGATACAAGGAGATAGGGTATTGATCGTTGTTTAAGAAAGCTTAACCATCATGTAAAAGGTAGTACAAGTTATGAGCTAGGTAGAATATAAAGTATCCCATTCATAATGTATATCTTGTTCTTCCATACGTATTTCATGTGTTTTGTTGAATGATGTATAACATCGCTATATATTGAGGTTATATGGAGATTTGAAACATTTATCATTTATCTATTTTAAAAATATGCACTATTACATCGAGAGTGATTTAATTATTTAATCATTTACAAATTTACAATTTGCACACCCTTTTTTGTGATAAGATTTTTCAATCATTGCATGCTCCTTGAAGTGATTGTCTCAGATTCTAAGACAAAATCCTGGATTTAGCTCATGCTGCAATCATAATTAGGTCAGTCATGAATCCCATGACTTTTACAAGCCGATCGCCTGTCTGATTATCAAGATTATTTATGATTGGAAATCGAAATAGAATTTGCCGTTTTTCTAACGGTTTTTATAGCACTACAGTCTTTTGGGGAAAATGGGTATGGTAAAAACCGGTCACTCAAAGATTTTTTACTTTTTTGAGGCACTTTATGATCAATTTGTTACGGGCTTCAACATTATTTACACCATATCACATACACTCAAAACACGTAGTGCCATGCATCTCAGATTTAACACTGTTAAACGATGCCTTTAACCAGTTTATCCTCTCATTTTTGCTGGTCCAGCACAGCGAGGACAACATTCGTGGTTTCGATATTATTGTCATCGCGTGAAACACTGTGTGACAAATTACGAGACTAAAGTCAAATCATGTATCATTTGAAATGATTTTTTTCTGCTCAACCCAGGGAGGTGAAAGAAATAATAATATAATAATATTGGATTTTTATACCTGTAAGGTGCTCAAAGCGCTCCAATATTACCCCGGCTCTGCTATGCTACCGATTTCGGTGCTCACAGCATTCTAGGAATTCCTTCCTACCGGTCCCCATTTACCTCACCTGGGTGGAGTGTGGCAAATGTCTTGCCAAAGGACATTAGTGCCGCGACGGGATTCGAACCGCGGACCTCGTGATCGACAGTCCGGCGACGTATCCACTCGTCCACGACACCTCTAAGGAAAAGGAAAGGAGTGGAAACTTTTGTAATTTATTGAAACGCATTCGTGAGTTCTAAAGCGTAACAATTGGATGTCTAACATTCAACTTGGCTTTGAAGTTCCATGCTCCAAGCCGCGCTTCCACTGCGGGGAATTTCGGAGGCACCAGTTTCACATTTATTACAAAATATTAAATTACCGAAAAATTTCAAAGTGAATTATAAAATTTTAAACGGGGATTGTATTGGAAATAGTGCATCAAAACAATTTCATATTTAGTATTCCGCCCTTCCTATAATATGTGTGCCAGAGTTGGTAAAAGAAGAATTAGATCCTGACAAAAACTCGATATAAAAATGTTAGGATAATGCCCTAATTTAAGCAAGTTTAAATGTCCCGTTATTTAATCCATAATTTACAAGCTTCGATAACTTTAAGTTTGCTAATGCGTGTTGTCGTGTGTTGTTTTGTATTTTTGGCAGTTTGAAAAAAGGATGAAATTACACAAGTTTGTGTTCGCTTGTTCTACTCATAACACATTCAACAATTGATGAGAAATCATTGAAAAGGACAGCAAATAGTTGCTGAGATACCATTTTCTGATGTAGGAATTCTAAATCCTGAAATTGTGTGCGCTCTTTTATCTCACCACCTAGTCAACAGTTGCAGATTAGCACATAACTGTTCGGCGGCTTGGAGCATGGGGTCAAAAGAAAGCGGCTTGATTCCACTCCTTTCTTTCACCTCCCTGCTCAACCCACTCATTTTTAAATGTTTCTCTTTGCAATATTCCATGAGTGCACACGTGGTCGAGTGAATAAGTCACCAGACTATGAAGCCCAAGGTACGGGGTTCGAACCCCTTCCTCAGTCACAAATGTCACTTTTCAAGGCATCAATCTACATTTGGTACTATCTACCCAGGTAAATAAACTGGGAACAAAATTGCTTGAACGATCGAGTACTTGCTCATGGTAGCTCGGCTAAAGCTGAGGTAAAAATATATTGACTCTTATAGGGAGAACAGTATCGATAAAGCTACCATTGTTAAGCAAAACATGTTATCCTTATAATTATCATAATCAAAATAGTGCAGAATTTTTCTGATCTTGGTGTCATCTTATCTCTGTTTGATATAATTTTCTATTATTTTTTATTTCAGATTTTGCATTTAATTTTGGCTAGTTAGAGAGTTGGTGGATTTTGTTTACAATGAAACTGTACAGAAAATTTGCTAAAGTCAGCAAGAACATCAAATAATCCACGCTTTTCTTAAAATTTGCGATACATGTTGAAAACTGACACGATATTCATTTAATAACTGCACACCCTCAATGTTTTGTTAATAGAGGGAATCGTTTATATCTAGCTAACAATAACAATATAATAATAATTTAAGAAGAATGTGTTATATCTGATGGAACATATTTCTGCACCTCTCTCACCTTTTCTTCTTCATCTCCGTTTTTTCTCCCTCCCGTAACTTCTCCCTCTTTTCTCTTCACTCTATTTTCTCTCAATGTATCCTTGCTATCCGTCTCTACCTCTATCCAATTGTCTCTGCACATCTCTCTCCGACATTCCTCTGTGTGTCTCCCTATATCTCCCTCTCTCCCATGCTCTGTCTGTGTATGCCTGTCTGTCTCCCTCCGTCTGTCTCACTCTTTCCCTCCAAAAGTTGTATATCTGAATAGTCAATATTGCATTTTAAAATGCCTATTACCTCATATACGATCTATAGAGACAATGGCATCAAAGTCGATGTTTAAATATTGTAGAATTCCTATCTCCAACACTGGACCCATCACTGTACACAAAGCCTTAACCTAACCCTACTACTAACCCAAAACCTTTTCCCACGCTCTAATACTATATCTTTCAAGATATACGGCTCGGGGGGCAAATGTTTGATATCCTAACCTACAATTATTTTAAGAAATGATATAATGTATATGTGGGTCGATACATCTCTTTACACTTGATTTAGGTTGTATGGGAATGTGAATGAAAATGTTCGTTTTCATAATGCATTGTGATTCATGTTGCATTGTGATTCAAGTGCGAGAATGTTATGATATGAATAAAATCATTATCTTTTACATAGAAAACGGAGCATTCGAATCATCATTTCAATCGTTGTCACTTGTCCGGGGGTAATTGTACTCGGGGATGGGTGTCTTTGGGGTATTTTTCCAAGGGGTATTGTTTTGGGGTAGTTTTCCTAGATGGGGGGGGGGGGGCTAATTATCCTGGGGTAACTATCAAGGAGGTAATTGTCCTGATATATATATATATATATATATATATATATATATATATATATATATATATATATAAGTGCGGGAATTATGAACTCTGACATGACAACGGGTGTTCCTAGACCTTTTTCTTCACGCCTATATATATATATATATATATATATATATATATATATATATATATCAGGACAATTAATTTTTATATTACAAATATATATGTATATGCATATAATATATATATATATATATATATATATATATATATATATATATATATATATAAGTGCGAGAATTATGAACTCTGACATGACAACGGGTGTTCCTAGACCTTTTTCTTCACGCCTATATATATATATATATATATATATACGTATATATATTATATGCATATACATATATATTTGTGTGGGGGTTGGGAGTATACGTCTGAAAAATACGAAACCCAACCTTTCTCATCAGTTATTAGTAATGGGGATCAATACACCTTATTTTATACCATACAAGTAGGCTATCAATTGTTCCATGTGACTGAGTACTTAAACTGATAAGTATGATGATAAAAATGAAGAATGCAAGAAGTACTTGGCACAAAGATATCATGTATAATGTAATTATTCATTTTACAATGAAAAAGAAATAACAACAGATAGAGGCAAAAACAAGAAAGTAACGTTCAATGTTCCTTTGAGTACGATGCAAATAATAAAAAATAAAATAAAGCCCTCCCAAAAGAACATGTTTGCAAAAATCGAAATTCGACAAAATCTGAATGATGAATTGAACAAAGCAAAGACACGTTCAATCAATTGGCATTCATTTGAGTAGACCCCACAATCGTGAGTAAATCGATTTGTTTTTTTCATAGTTCAATGATGTACAGTTTTGATGTTTGATGTTTCCATTTGATGTTATATAGTATGAAAAAAGTAATACATTGAACAAAAGAAGTAGTGCCCTCTACGTACGTGTGCAGGAATCAGAAACTTAAAGGCATCCCAAGAAACAATAGGTTTAATTAGTAAAATTGTTTTGAAGTTAGGGTTAGGGTAAGGGTAATAAACCAATTTGGGGTCATTTATAGATGTCCTGTTAATAGAACATGTAGGATTATATGTATATACATGTATATGTATATGAAGGATGTGGTTGGGTGTGTGTGTGCGTGTGTGTGTGTATGTGTATGTGGGAGAGGGTGAGGGTGAAGATGGTGTGTACGCCCGGGCTTAGGTATGTGTATGTATGTTTGTGTGTGGGTATGGGAGGGGGTAGTGGTACACGACTACAGATGTAAGATGTAAAGATCAATTGATGGTTCAAATCAATGATTGATAGTTAACAGAGTACCTGCAATTGATGCCTGATATGCAGTTTGCTCTAGTTCAAAACTGAAGATGTTACGCACACCAATTTCAGTGGGGGTCTCTCAAGCATAAAATATTGTAATCACTGTTAGTGCCTTTCGATTAAATAGTCCCTTACCAATGATTTCATAAGAAAAATCATGCAGATATCGTGAAATTATAGTTTTGAAAATATTTTAAAAGTTTCCTTTTTTGTATAGATATACACCATATCAATATACATATACATGTATATATAAATATATATATAATTTATTATCGTCATTATGTAGAGGTACATAACGGATTACTGGAGAATCTGCCGTCGCCTCATCCTACATCTGGATGTAATTGTATCAAGGCTAAGAAATTTATTTTCTTGCTGGATCAGCACTGACACGGATGCTTTGCCACCCTCCCCTCCACTCCCACCCACCTCCACCCACCTAACCAAGGACTAAATAATCCACTGCTGAATAAAAAACAAAGAACACAGGTCGATCCTTAAATAGGATGATATTTATTTATTATCAAATCCATCTAATGATATAATAGCAAAGATACAACATTCCATTATGCAATTCCCATTATTGCATATGGTGTCATAATAAAAGTCTATAATAATAATACTACAGTACTATCTAGTTAAGCATAACACACACGTAAGTCATTTCCAAAGCAACAAAGATCGTCACAATTGAGTAATAAAGATGAATTATCATTAACCATATAAAGCAGAGATTAAATTTACAATTTAACAACAGGAAATATTCAATAGAACTCAAAATTATCCAAGAATGTTTTGTCTTACAAATCATGGGTGACTTGTTGGAACATCGGTTCTAGGACAATTACCCCCTTCCCTTGATAATCACCTCCTATCAATTACCAGCGGGACAATGATCCCCCTTAGGACAATTATCCACCGGAAATTGTGTTTGTCCGGGGGCGAGGAATTTCCTGATACATTGAACATTAACGTATTCTCTGTATAGTATTCTGACAAAAAGACTTAAATCTACGAAAGCACTTTTTTCAAACAAGTTCTCAAAATTGGAAATATGTTTTTAAAGCATCACTGTAAGACTTTTCGTTCGTAATGTGTAGCATCAATTTCCATCATACGTAACCTCACGGAAATATCAAAGGATTAAGAGGGGCATTTTTCCGCGTTTACTTTTTCTACTTTTCTATCATAATCTAGCACTATTGTTAGCATTACCCTTAAACCTTAAATTGGTATAGAAACGGCGAGACATTGTGACTATTTCTTTTTCAAACCTCCTTATGAACCAATATATAGGCTTGTCGTGAAGTTAATAATTGTACAACAAAAGCTCACACTAAATTCTAAATAAAGATGATAAACTGAACGATTTACACTACTTCTTATGATTACATAATCCAGATAATTAAGTATCTAAAAGAAGAGAAGACAAAATAATGAAAATATTTATAAAAAAGTGAAAGCTGGGCAATGATGAAATAAATGAGTAAAAATCGTAAACGAGACGGAAAATATCAAATGTAATTTCTACAAGGTATGAATAAAATCATTCGTATTATCTTTATGCACGAAATAGAGCCTCTAATTCTAGTAGGTTTATAAGCCTGCTTTCTTACTCTTGCTTCTAATTGCGCACATGGTTTATAAAATAAGTTTTTGTTTGTTAATTAGACTAGAATACAGTGGAATCGATTATGGTATTACATACTCTTCTTACATTTATAAAGTAGGCATTCGTTATAATTTATGAACAGTGAAGCATTTCTTTCGTTCATTATATATGCATTGCTTTGTTACTGAACTTTGTGTTAATATATAAATATCATCAGCTGCATATGCTTTATACATGTCCTATTTTTTCCTGAAGCATCTGGTATATTGTAGAATTTAAAAGAAGGATAAAGATGCTTACACCCCCTTGCTTACAAGTGTTATTTTGATTTTATATAATAATAATAATAATACTCAGTTTTTATATAGCACTTATTACAATCACTAAGCGCTTCCAAACTGGGAGAGTATTACCCCCGGCTTTAGCTGTGCTGCCATTACGGCGCTCTAGCATGTCAACGAATTAATTCCTGCCAGGTACCCATTTACACCACCTGGGTTGAGTGTGGCAAATGTAGATCAATGTCTTGCCAAAGGACACTTTGAAGTCAGAACATAATTACCAAAACAATATTTTATTATTTTTTTCTTTTGAGAGTGTTAATAATAATATTGATAATGAAGATGATGATCGTGATAATAATTTGTTATGAGAATTATAAAAAAAACACACCAAAACAATGGTTATAATCATAATTACAACCATAACAACAACAATGATAATTTAAATAAAACCAATAGCAGTAACGATCGAAATCAATAATGAGCTTAAAAGTTACCTCTATAAATATGTATTGCAATATTAAATATACTTTTAATGCAACATGAAGCAACATGTAAGCGAATCAGTCGACGCATCCGTACATGTCAAAAACCAATTGCATATGTTATTATCATAAGTATTGGCTGAGGTATGATGATCCGAATAAATAGAGTTAAATAGGAAATCACTGTTATTTTGCTCTGGTTCATAACAATGTATCAATACTTAACATATTTAATTAGTTTTCGACATTTGGACATTATTATTAATATTCTTTTTTCTGAAAATGAAGTTCAAATTTGGAAATTCTAAAAAATGTTTTTTGATGACGTCACACTTGAGCACTCTTTTAGTATTGTCTTTAGAAGTCGTATTCGGATTTACGTCACCGTAATTTCTGTACATTACAATGATACCCTGCTATAGATCTTCAAGAGTCTCTTAAAAAATGCACATCTTCGAGTCATCTTTATTGAATGTTAATATATTTGTAATAAAAGTGTAGAGTATCCAATACAAAATGTTTTGCTTTGCTATATTATATTTTGCTCTGTTCTCTATCCTATAATTTTTTTGTCGTCAGATATTTCTCTACATTTAGTCATTTTGTTATTTTTATGGACCTATAATTTACTGTAATACGATAATTTCTAGATTATTTGCTTATTCTTTGGTATTTTTGGCATTTTCCCACTTACCTGTATTACACTGTTCCTCAATAACATCCCTATATTTCCTATTGTAAGTATCTTAAAATAAAGCTATCACTATTCTATCCTACTAAGTAAAGAACAATACACTTCATGCGAATCTACTTATCTAATATTATTATCATTGTCGATATTGATAATAATATAATTAATATTCCAATCTTGTATAGCGCATATCACATTATAACGTCCCTATGCGCTTCCAAAGAGCGTTGGAAATTATTACACTACCTTTTAATATCTCCGGCAGCCATTATCAGGGCACAGTGCATAATCCTACTAGATACCCATTTACCTCACATGGGTGGTGTGTGAAAAATGATGATTAATGTCTTGCCTAAGAACATTAGTGCCGCGGTGGGATTCGAACCGCGGACCTTGTGATCCACAGTCCGGTGAAGTATCCGCTCGACCACGACACCTCTAGATGACGGAATAGGCCATTGACATTATCTTAGGTTGATTTTGCTAAAGTGTTTGTGATCGCATTAGAAATGTAATGTCCAACCAAAGAGATACCAGCTATCTCTTTGATCCAACTAAATAGGTACTACATTTCCATAACAAACATTTTTCCATGTTTTTTTTTTTCAGTTGAAAAGAATAGTTAAATAAGAAGCAAAAAGGAAATATAGTAAAGCTACTTGTATGCTTTTTAGTAGGTTCCTTTTTCATTTTATAATTTTGAACTTACTTTGTCAACTATGTTTTTTATTGTGCAAACAATTGATATATGAAATGGAATTCAATCAATCAATCAATCAATCACGGGGAATATTTAATAGCTATTTTTTTGCATTGCCATCAATGGCAGTTTGTAAGACAATTGTGTTCCCTTCACATGTTCGTTATATTATAATTACAAGGTGATGACGTTTACGGGAAGATCTTACTTACTCGTGAGTAGCTTTAATTGATTCGGCATTGACTTTCCTATGTCTCAATAAACTACGGTTTTAAGTGATAAGAAAATAATAATGCATGTATAACTTCACACGATTTCCCGTTACTCAATGAAAAAAATCAAAACTAATTCGAGAATAGAAAAAACTACTTAGAAACGGTCTAAAATTAATAGAGAAATCCAAAACACCGCTTTAACCCAAAAGATGCTACTGGAAAGAAAAAAAAAACTTAGTAATACTATTTCGTTCTCAGAGCAAGTATGATACCGTTAATGGCTCGATGAAGAAAAGAAAATAATTATAGAGGCTTGTGGTTGTGTAGTTAGTTCACCTTATCGAGTTGATCGATCTCGTTTTAGTCAATTAAACGTCAGAAGGTGCATAGGTAGCCGACCCAAAAATGAGGCCATATCGAGGAAGAATCCAGTTACCTTGCCAAATTATACTAGACTATCATAATCATCAGTTCGGGAACTGTCTCCCCATATCAAGTCTTAAGGAGAATCATTATGCCTTGCTGAACATGAATGCTGATGCTGCAAAAGTACCGCTAAGAAAGATCAACAAGAATACCCTGTCCATGACCAACGCTACCCGCTGCCATTCGTTCTGTCGTAGCTTCTCCTCTCTCTCCGAGCGATTATTGGCTGTCAGTTTGCGCAGTTCCGTTAGCATGCTACGCAGTATGGGAATGGCGTCCCGTGTGAAAGAGTCTGAACGGCGCCCGCACTCGACCAAATGCACCGTTCCATCTTTACTCGATACGGCATTGCCGCCCGGGTTCATCGCCACGCCGTTCAGGTCACGCTTGGCGTTCAGCGCGAGCGGGTCCGTGCACGCCATTAGGTCTTCCAGTTCCCAATTGTGGCAGTGTTTTTGGAGCGACTCGGTGCGGACGCTGAGACGACGTCGGTCCGTCTTAGAGTTCTTGACCGCAGTGGGAGCGAGTAGACGTCCCAGGCAATCGATGACCACGATACGAACCCAGCGAGGGACTGGTCGACAGTCGGGGCGACAATGATGCATGTTGAGAACCATGACGGACATTGCTAATGAACCAGAGATAAGAACCATGGTACTCATGAAGTATTGTCCTGCAATTAATAAGAGAATGCACTTATCAAAACGTTGTTGTAATATCGTATCAATCTGTCATAATTATAATGATAAATAACGACAACCAACAAATTAATAAAAGTAATGTAGAGATGTCATGGGCGAGTGGATATGTCGCCGTACTGTGGATCACAAGGTCCGCGGTCCAATAAAGTTTTGCCGCGGCACTAAGGTCATTTGGCAAGACATTGATCTACATGTACATTTGCCACTCTCCACCCATGTGTTAAATGGGTATCCGGTAGGATGTGAAAGTTAATGTGGTTAGATTAGCGAGTGTGCGCTTCTAAAAATGACGCCTGGCTGGAATGCTTCCTAGGGAGTTGAGAATGTGCGTATATTGTGTGCTGGTAAGCCTGAATCCGATGACCGGGATGATAATACATAGCCGCGCTATATAAGAACGAACTATTAATATTATTACTTGTTGTCATGCACTATACAGGCAAAGGTATGGGTGCAGTATAACGAGGGGCGTGACATGTCTTCCCCGAATATTAACCAACTTAGATTCGGCCAGGGGAACGGCATCCCTTAACCCCTAGTCCCAAACCGCTACCCCCCCCCCCCCTCCACTTTTTCTTCAAACTTTGTATACACGGAATGCCACTGCTTGGTTGTCTTATTATTTTTTCTTTCGTGCCTAGCTTGACTCGGCTACTTAAGATTATAGATGTAACTATGTTATTATTTCTTTAAAACAAAAACCTACTTCATCACTAGCGATTTTAACAAACACTCCTTACGTAGTACAAAGTCATGATGATTTCTTAGTATTTGGACCCTAAATGTGCTTCATCAAATTAGAAGAAAAAAATCCAACGGGATTTTTAGTTTTTCATGAATGTACCTGTTTCCCGTATATAGCCACAACATTGACGAATAAAAAAAATGTTGAATGATAGAGGGGGTTAGGAGATCTCTTGTCTTAGAGGTTATTTTCGCTCCCAAACATTGTTCAGTGTTTAATAAATCTGAGCAAAACTTCAGGCACTTGGTTTTCCTATATGAATAGCTTTTATCCTTTCTTTAAAAGTATTGCAATTAAAAAGATGAACACAAAAGATCCTCTCATACATTATTTTTTATGTATTTAGTATGCTCTGTAATCACTGCAAGAAAAAATGCTTACCCACAACAGGAACAGCACTTGTTGGGGGCATTGTTTCTGCGACCAAGAGGAGGAAGACAGTGAGCGATAGAAGCACTGTAATACCAAGACTGATCTTTTCACCCGATTCGGGAGGTAAAAAGAAGCTGAGTAGCGCCACCATCGACACAAATGTACAAGGTAGAATCAGATTGAACACGTAATACAGAGGTCTTCGCTTGAATTTGATCTACATGGACAAAAGAAGAAACATGTCACTGAGTGAAAGATTACCAGTTAATCATGATATTGCTTTAAACATCATAAAAGTCCATGTTCCCTTGGAAAACTTCCTCGCATTTCATTATGGGCTCCACTAATCTCTTTGTTTCATCACTCATCATGTAGTCTGGCATTTATACCACGCATCGTTTTCCGGAATGTTTGCCATTCTTTAGATGAGAATAATAAAATCAATCATGTTATATGTTTGTTTTTGTTCATCCTTGAATGCATAATTTTTGTAGACAGCCTTCCCATTTCCAATACTAGAATAATGTTAGAAGTTAGTTTTCTAAGTCAGGAGTGGGATACAAATAATACACACAAACTTTTGGGGGAAATTACACGTTAATTCAGATCTGGGAACCAGTGGCGCTGTACTTTCTTGAGACATGTAATGAAACACCATTTTAAATTAAAGTATAGCAAAATTGACTTGGGTCCCGTGCTTGCAGTTTTATGTTACTCTTTATTCTCCTTACTTTTCTTATCCGCTGGTCTATACAATGCCGGGTAAATTTGTTTAAGGTTGACTGCATACATTCTAGCCGTACGCACATTTTTGTTTTAGGGGATCGGTGCAAGTTAAGATTATATACTTTCCAACTAAATATTTTCAATATATTCAGCTGCAAATATAAACGTATATTTATATATGTATATTATGTATATTATATATATCTACTAAAAGCATAGGGAATGTAAAGAAACTACACACAATTATAAACTACTCATTTCGTTTCAATTGATCTTACTACGTATGTCACATCAGTATAGGTTTTGCCAGGTGCATCCGGGTACTCGACCTCGTTGCTTTTAGCGGTCATCGCTAGAATATCCCACTGCCCGTCGCTGTTGAAGACAGATGCATCTCCTTGGTGTAAACAAAGAACAAGAAATAAAAAAAAATGGTCAGAGATGAAAATGGTATTCCATGTAGCCCTTAAGATACCGGTAAATCAATTTGTAGAGGTATTATGGTCTAGTCAATGATGTGCGAAGAATTATAGTGGTTCTCCGTCGGAGTGCCAAACAGTTGCGCTAATGCCCCTTGGCAAAACATATATATATATATATATATTTGCCACTCTCAACTCGGGAGTATTACAGTGTAAGAATAAATTATTATGGATGCTTTCAATGCTTTAATGGTAGATTGGATAAGTCTATCATGGTAGTAGTGTGATGTTGTGGGGTTTGTGAGGGATATTCTTTTGGTGTTATTCCAGTATTTAAAAAACGCTGTTCTGTGTCGTTTGTTCTTTTGATATGTATTTACGAGGCGCCGCCATTGTGCTTGTTATGTAAATATAAAAGGAAAATGGAAATGCATGAAATATATAAGAAAATGCCCATCGGCTTACTCGTTATAATGTGTACGGTTTGGAAGAGCACCCCGCTGTTTGAGTCAAATCAACGGTCTCATCGCAGTCCTTTTAGAGACCAAAGATAACATTCTACGTATAATTAAAGAAAGTATAGACTTTTCTTCAGCATGTTCAGTTTAGTGATAAAGCGTCTCGTTTCACGCGTCGATGATTTGTTATAAAAGTAAAAAATAAAAAATATATGTCAGACCTCCTATGGTTTTACATAATGGCACACACAAATTACCAAAAAAGCACCAATGCTCATTTCAAAATTAATCTGCATAATTTACAGAACATGTTTTTTGGACCAGGGAGGTGAAATAAAGGAGTGGAAACCCTTGTGATTTATTCAAACGCACTCGTGAGTGCTAAAGCGTAATGATGGGAAGTGTAACATTCCACTTGGCTTTGAAGTTCCATGCCCCGAGCCGCGTTTCTACTGCGGGGAATTTCGGAGGCCAGGCACCAGTTTCACATTAATTACAAAATATTAAATTACCGGCAAAATAGGTAAATTATAAACTTTATATGGGGATTGTATTGGGAATAGTGCGTCAATCAATTGTTCACATTCAGTACTCCGCCCTTCCTCTAACTTGTGTGCCAGAGTTGGTAAAAGAAAATTTAGATCCTCACAAACAAATCAATATTCAAGGATAACGCGCTAATTTGTGCATGTTTTAATGTCCCGTTATTTAATCCTTGATTTACAATCTTCAATACTTTTAAGTTTACTAAGCTTGTTTTCGAGTGTTTTTTTTTTGTAACTTTGCAGTTAGAAAGAGAATGAAATTACACAAGTTTGTGTTCTTTTGCTCTACTCATTTAATACAAATTTAACAATTAGTGAGAAATTTTTGAAAGGAACAGCGAACAGTTGCTGAGATACCATTTTCTAATGCAGGCGCGTACGCAGGATTTTTTCAAGGGGGGGGGGGGGGGGGGGAGGGTTTAATATTTATAAATCGGGCCGAAAATTTCGCAACGACTCAGCCAGCCGCCGAATAATTTTTGGCCTCGAAATTTGAAAATTTGACATTTGGCTCCGTTGGGGGGGGGGAGGGGTAAGGTCACTTTTTTAGGTCAGCCATGGGATTTTTTTTTTTTTTTTTTTAATAATTAAAAAAAAAAAAAAAAAAATCCAAAGGGGGGGGGGGTGACGGGGGGTGACGGGGGGTGACGGGGGGGGGGGGGTTTACACACATACAAAAATACCAAAGGGGGGGGTTAACCCCCCCCCCCCATGTACGCGCCTGTTCTATTGTAGGAATTCTAAATCCTGAAATTTCATGCGCTCTTTTATCTTACCACCTGGTCAACAGTTGCAGATTAGCACATAATTTTCGGCGGCTTGGAGCATGGGGTCAAAGGAAAGCTGCTTGATTCCACTCCTTTCTTTCACCTCTTTGTCTTGACTAAAGACATACTGATGACAGTAATGGGGGGAAGTGTATCTTGGAGCGAAAAATTAGCCGCGTAATTACTGCTCTAGTTTCCCAGTTGCATAGCAACCCGCCTGGCTGTGCCTTTGTTCAAGTTGTTTGAGTATGCAGACAACATTGTAAATGTTTTAGAGGTAACAGAGTCGAAACCATTTGCTATTCAGAGCACTTGTAAGAATGAGGTACGCGCCCCCTACGGGAGAATGATCGATTATAATTAGCACCCACCGAGCATGATTGCTCCCATGAATCTTTTGTCGAGGCAAGGAAAGATATAAGAGCAGAACTGTTCATGAACGGTATAATGACATGCTTCATTAATGACTAGCATCGTATGACCTTTTAAAGACCTACAGCAGTTCAGTATACATAGATTTGTAATTTGGAATGCAATGAATTATTTGTTAAGCATATTTAAATCAGTATGTGTTCTGTTTAGGGTAGATCTTTTATTCCGAAGCGTGCTGAGATCAGTTCATTGCCGAGATGACAGGAAGGGCATGGATGGTACATTCACGTGATCCTCATTTCTTATACTTTCTTTTGTAATTTGTTGTAGCATTAGGGGTAATCACACCCGGCCTACAGAAAAAAGTGAGATATAAAAATCGACCTTTGCATCGCTAACCAAAATACTTTTATTTTTTGCGTGTGGGGACGCATCGCGATCCCATTCTAATTCGAAGTGAATCTTGTGATTTTTCAGAATAATCGCGATGGTTTGCCGGGCACTGTGTGTGTGAATGGTACGGGGAATGGTATTAAGAATCAAAAGTCGATTTATTTAATCCCAGGATTCCAAGCGCGCATACATCGTCGAGATTTACGCATGCGTAGTTCGGACGTCTTTGCCGTCGAGCGGGAATTCTCCCTGTGTGTGAATGGTCGCCAAAAAAAATCTTTGCATCGCCACCCAATTCGTACTAAATTGACAATTGTGAACGGTCGCACAATTTTTTTTTAATCTTTGCATCGCGATCCAAATCGCACTAATTGTTATGTGTGAACGGGCCTATTGAATTTTATACTATTAACTTGGAAGGCAGATATTTTCTCCACGTTTTCCATTGTGTTTAATAAAATAAAATTGATTTCTATTGCCTTTCATCCTTCTCAATGTAATACAAAACCTTCCCTTTAGAAGAAAAAAAAATGATTCTTTTTAACATAGTCATTTCATTTTTCACCTTGTGGTTGTGTTTTTCTTTACAGGAAAAAACACATCAGAGGCAAGAGAGTTGATTCTGTGTGTGTTTGAAAAGGAAGCATCGATTACTGACAGAAGTGAGCAATGCAGGTGTGTGTGTTTGTGCGTACATGTACGTCAATGTGGATGTGCGTTTGCGGGAAGGAGTAATCTAAATCAACCTTAAAACATCCCAAACGCAAGGAGCGAGAATACAGTTCAATAAGCCAAGTTTGGTGAGAGAGGTCGGAAGGGGGAAAAGGTGAGAACAGGGACAACGAACCAGAAAACAGAAGGTGTACTCGATAGTAAGGAAGACCTACTATCTAAAATGTTAAATGTAAAATTGCATATATTGTAGGGATAATGATACAAAGAAAGAGAGAGAGAGAGAAATAAAAAAGGAGAGAGTCTGAGACAGACGGACATACAGAGAGACAGAATTAAATGAAAACACCTAGTAGAAGATAGAGGCGGGAAAGTAATCCCTGTTGGTTGAATTGTACCCTTTTTTCCATTCTGGGGAATTTTAGGGAGACCTGCAAGTTTGAAAGAACATGTAGGCATTTCATCACAAACAACTGTATGGAGGTGTAAATTTTGAATCTAGAGCAAGTAGTGGCACAGATAAAAAGGCACAACACACACCTTACCACCTAATCAGAGAAAAATAGAGGTAGATAAATAGAGAAGACACATATATATATACAAAATGGGAGAGAGAGAGAGAGAGAGACATAAAGAGGTTAGAGTGAGAGGGGTCGAGAAATAGAGAGATAGGAGAGTGAGAGAGAAAGTAAGAAAGAGCGCCCGCGAGAGACAGAGTGGGAGAGTGAGAAGGAGACAGACAGAGGAAGACAGACAGAAAGAGGAGAGACTGAAAGCGAGAGAGAGAGAGAGAGAGAGAGAGAGAGAGAGAGAGAGAGAGAGCAAAAGAACACCTTCTGGTAGAATAGAGGCGATAAAGTACTCCCCAAATCTCTTGCCTAATTCACCCTTTGGAACGCACTTCTTGCAGGTGATTCAACATAGGCACGACGCCAAAATTGGCTGCGACACTGGTGGCGTGTTTGTGGAGGGGACTTGAGTCATGCAAATTAAAGGCCCATATTACTGAGAGGATGGAGGTGAGAAGAAAAAAAGGTGAATTCCTATCAATGACAAGAAAGAAGGTCATTCCATTTTATCGTACTCAACATTTGGCCCCCTCTAAAAGCTGACGTCATGACAATTTTGTTGTTTGCCTGTTAACTATTATTGCCGTTGCAATATTCCATGTGCTTCTTAATTTTCGTCAATGTCACCTACTTCAGTCCGAGTCCATTATAATGAATGACCGATGAGCATTAACATGATATCTTATTTAGAAAGTTTTAACTGGTATTGAAAAAGAAAAAAGGATTTTCATAACCACATAGCAGTACATATGAATATGAATGCTTCTGATCTTGAACTGTGAACATACACAATTTACAATTTCAAATTCGACAAGAAACTCACATCGACACAGGTATTTAAGCCATCTGGTAACATTCTAGAATGTGACAAAAAATAGACGTGAACCGTTTGAAAGAAAATGTTATCATTTCGTTTGTTTTAGACAAAAGAAACTTTTCAGACGCGAGTATTTGAAAATATACGGAGATATGAGGGTAAATTCCCTTAAAAAGTAAACACGATAGTTTATGCCCGAAGTTGGAGGCTATAAACAAAGGAGACTTAGAAGCGGTGAGCAAAGTAGTACAGGCATTGGTCTGGGATACTATATGCTGAATCCCGTAACAAGGCGATGGGTTCCCGATTTCTATTACGAATATCTTGATCTTTCAAAGAAGTGATAGGTTTCTATAAAACAATCTTCACTTGTTTCCATGAACGCAGCAGTCATGGATTTAGTATGTCCTAAATAATTTTTTCCAATATGGACAATGTTACCAACTGACTTTAAAACAAAATTCAATTGCATGAATGTAAATATATGGTACATCGAACAATGGTATGCATGTGGAATGGAATACATTGTGACGTGGAACATTCGAATTTGCAAAATAAAAAAGATAATGTCGTATGTAAGTATGTATGTATGAAATGGATTTCACATTATGAGCTGCTTGTGCCGAGATTTTGCACAATGACCAGGTCATTAACAATTATTTGAAAGCACATTTGTTAGTATATATACTTTTCACAGAAGTGAAGCATGGTAAAGGTTATCATGTATTAATGTATGAATATATGAATGAAATATACTCTACAGAATGAGCGATTGATATGACAATTTACACACATTACTGAATGTCTATTAAAGTTTGAAAGGATGACGTATACATCTAGTTCGCTGTGACTGATTTTGCGTGCTGAATATATAATCAATAAAGGCTTCCATTTTCATCAACCCTCTTCATTTTGTATTAGCAAAGAAATTATTTATTTAAAAAAAAATTATTACCACTTTGATCTACATATATTAACAATTCAATTTTTTGATATTTCGATTTTTGTAAAAATATAAACAGATAAGGTAATATAATTATATAAAAAATAAGAAAAACATCGAGACTGGCCTTTTAGCAATTTCATGTAAAATTCATCGAACAGAAAAAGACATACTAAAAAAGCGGGTCACCTATAGCGCCCGAACCGTCCACTGACAAAAATAAACCTGACTTGAAGACAAGAAACCACCACAACTATTGAAGTGATGGATGGCCGAGTTGATAGAAATGGACACTCTATGAAGCGGAATGAATGAGTAGCAATGATGATGGGTTTGATTATTACCACTACCTCCGCCCCAAATCCTCAGTTCCTTCCCTTCATGTTGCCAGGGACCGAATTTCATAGGGCATTGCTGCTCGTCGAACGGGAAGGTATTGACGTTGATGGAACAGTAGCTGGAGATGATCTTAGGAGCTGCCCAGTTGACTTGGCCCTCGTTGGTGATCACCACGATCTCATCTTTCATGAAATCCTTGTACTCGTTGGCGGCGCTATTTAAACAAAAAACAACAACATTTAAGTGAGAATCTGAAATGACAATATTCACAAGGTTTTTCCTGAATTGAATTACAAGATATTCATTCCCATCCCCTCCCCCCCCCCCACACACACACCCACAGCTTTCGTTGACGATTCTTAAATGATTCGACAATGTTTAGGAGGTGGTAGCTGAGCTATGAGGCAAAGTGAAAAGAAAGAAAAAGAGGATATACCTGGATCAGAAACACAATTTTTATTTTCCCTTTAGCTTTGGTTGGAGTGTATGTGGTGCGAATGTCATCTTTATTTTTCATAATTATACTTACTACTTTGAAAGAACCCAGGATTGTGTTTTATAACAACTTAATTTATTCAGAATGACCTTATGTAGTAGATTTCCGAAATATTACCACGCCTCGCTATCTTTTTTGATCATATTTTGTTATGTAGAACCATTGTACAGGAGTCAAGGGTCTAGCAATTCCTCGCCTTATTTTATCAGCCGAATTATGTGCCAACACGTGCCATCAGTCAGGTTTGATGGCACTTATATCAAACCTTTTCTCACTGTAATTGTAACTGTAATTTCCTGAACCACAATAACATCGTATTTTCAAGTGTCACAACAACACCCACAGAAGAAATTCCAAGGTAATGAAATCATGCCCAGAACGTGATAAACGGAAGAAGAAAGAATTGGTCACAATGATACCATTGTAGGTCTCTCTAACCTTGATCCAAATAGGTAATTTTTACTCTTTCATGTCACTTCCTAATTTCATTTTCGTTCTTTAGATATTTAGCTACCAATTAAAACTGCTGTTTTAATTTTTTTTAAATCATTATCGAACGCACTAAACAGCATGCTGTCAAACACACACGCACGCTCACAGAGTTATGTTTGAAAAAATTCATGTTCTTTTGTAATATGAAATTTGAAAGTAGGACGTTCTGCTACCGATTCTAAACACTCAATTAATATAAGAAGCGTCATCGAAAACCTATTATCGAATACAAATCGAGTCATACTACTAGCTCTCCCATCGTACCCACACACGCACAATCGGAGAGCGAAGTTGTCATTTTTCCTGTCTAATTTTGATCACTTGATTTCAACTCCGAATTTATTATGTTACTAATAATGTACTCTAGTGTTGTAATGAAAGTGAAAACTCGGCATCGGGTACACATTACGCCATACTGCTCAACATATTTCCTCTCCCACACGCACCCACTCACGCACGCACGCACGCACGCACAGTCGAGGACAGATTATTTGCAGACGGAGAATGAAGTCCTTTTTGATTATGATAGGGTGTCATCGATATCATTGGGCCACTCCATTCTGATATCACTAAACGTCTCAACATCTGGCTAGGGGGACGCATTGGAGAAGTCACGAATGTTCCCAAATCGTGACCAGAATCGAAATGAACCATATGGTTATTATCATGCATTCCATACATGTGGCACCAGGGTCTACAACCAGCCCCGGAGAAGGGAATCGGAGATCCTACAAAAGAGGGGAAGTGAGAAAACTAACACCACTTGGGCGACCATATGCATGACTTGACCACTTAACACATTCTGTCTTGCTTTTTTTTTATTAACATTTCTTATTGGTTTCTTGAATTGCCGTATGTGGTCATCTTTGTAAATAGACATGAGATAAATTGCGAACATTCTTCAGTAGTTGATATATCCTTGATGGCCGTGTCCGAATCCCAGCAAAAATTAAATTGATGATTTAATGATAATCATGAGAACCAGTGAAAAAGCTGTCTAGAAGTTACCCATGATGATTGATTTTGTAATAATAGGAACCAATCCATATTCAAGAGGTTTTGACATTGTCAATTTTTTTGTTAACTTCTCTAACTTAGCCTTTCGCTTCTTCCGAATGTCCAATGTACATTTGAAATGGTAATGGTCTTTCTTACGTAAAGACAAAGCTCAAATACGGAAACCCATATGCAGGATGATGATTGAAAAACATAGCATGAAAGTCGGTATATACTTTCTTAACTATTTCTATGCATATTTGTCAAATAAGGCAAAGCGTTGTGTATTGACAGTGGGGATTGATTATCATAATCATCAATGTAATAAACACTTCCAAACATTATGCACCGACCTAATGGATCCGACGTCAATGTATAGCTTTAGGCAACATCGATTTCTTTTCTTCAGTTTCATCATGGTTCTAATATCGTAAGAAGTTGAATCCTGGCATCTTTAACGTTTTGAGAAAATATCGTGAACGTGAACATCATATCATGGTGAAAATAAAAATCGAAATTGCTACCCCATTTTGTGTAATCATTCTGAGGAAACATAAATACTTTGGCTTCCTGAATGTTAAGTTTTCTGTTCAGGCTCAATACACCAGTAACATTCCCCCAGCAACGTTCAGAAGATGTCACGAATCAAGAATTAATCGGACTTCGAAGGCATAGCTTTCTTATACTGTCATGCAGTTAGTGGTTGAATAAATATGCCCTCAAAAATACTATTATAGTAGCAATATCGTCTCCTGTTTTTTTTTTTTTTAATACTTATCTGCCTATATCATATCAAACAAAGCCCTAGTGTTTACCATTATTAGCGCACGGCAGATAGCTCATAATTAGGCAGTATGAAATGTAAAGCAATATGCGTTTCAGGAGGGGCCTACGCTTCCACGAAAATAAAATCCTACCCTCATTACCATGATTACTCCAGGAAATAAATATTAATCATAGGAAGGATAAACCAAAAAAAAAACATAAGGAAAGAAGGAAGACATAGAGCGAGAATGGTGATTAATCACATCTCTCTGTTAATGGTGACATTTAGAAACCTCGACATATCCCAAAATTTGATCGAGAACAATCTTCCAATCCATCATTCTGGAGGGATTTTAGTATGCAAGCTTTGGGGCTCCCCCACAAATTTTCTCCCCGTGTAGCGTTAAGTGTAATAAGGCATCCAGATACCATGATCGATTTGTCTTCCCAGTACTTCCGACGCCGGCATATAAAGAACATTTCACGGGTGGGGGACGGTTGGTTTGCAGACGAAAGAGGCCATTAAACCCTAATTTTTCATCAGAAAAACCTATTGAAAAGAATCCAAGACGGATCCCTGAAATAAATGTAGCGGGTTATTGCCAGAATTAAAATGTTTGATGTTGATCAAACGAATACGTAAATGGATAAGGTAATATAGACAATACTTTACATGTATATATCATAAATATTCTACCATACGAAATCGGTATAAAATTTTCTGAATTTAGAATTAGATTTCCGTCACTACGGTCACTGCATTAATAAAGAATCACGAGGCTAAAAATAATGATTTCATAAGGTAATGTCTATCGTTTCCATTAAAAACGGAAAACGCCTAAATAATTTTCTTTTGGGGGGATAGGTATAATTTGATAATTTGATAATTTGATGAATGTTGACAATATTTCAACACAGCCTTCTAAATGTTGGACGTAATATTTACTATCTGAAGTCCACTCAATGATATTTATACATCTCGCGGTCTGTAAAATTAAATTGAGCATCGGAAGCGACATTCGTCACCGAAAATGTATTTAAAATGTGAATGTTGTTAATTAATCATTTAGTTTCGTTGGGATTCGTTGCTGAGTGCTGTTATTGCTTCTGTGACTGATAGTTCAGATGTGTTGATGATTAATGGGTGTGTTGTGTTTCGTTTCCTATGAGTCCGCTGGGTGAGATTCTGATTCTATTTTTCTAGTAAAAGGGTTAATTACATTTCCGGTGAAGTTTAATTTTGTCTTTCTGTTTTTCAAATCGTTCGATAATATCATTTTGTGATTCTTGGTAAATCTTTAAATTTGCATCCATGTCTCTAGTCGTTGAATATATCATACAATGTCATATTATTTAATATCCCTTTAATATATTGAATGTTTTACCTTATTTCATTGGTATTTTGTATGTTACCATGCATATAAACGACCAATGTGATAAACAGCTTTGGCTAACATTGTTATCCTGTATAAATATGTTTAAAATCATAAATGAATTCCCACCCAAATCAATTATGAACGACACTAACCATTTGAAATACCCTATTCTAAAGATGAGGATTTAAATTAACATGTAGTATGACAATCAATGTTTAATGATGAAATAGTTTATTCCTACCTAGATATACATATCGGTTAATATTTACAGGGACAGTGGTAACGTCTATTAAAAATACATACAAACCCCTCTTCATTCTTTTCAATCCATCCGTTCATCACGAAACGTCCTTTTCCAAATGTAATGTAAGCCTCCATTAACGTTTCAGGTGATTCGAAAAATGTGATGATTACAAACTTGCTAATTTTAATATTCGCCGACAATTGGTGTAGTTGTATGCCACTTAAATTACCTAAGGTTAGGTCATTTATTATATACTTTATCTAGTCCAATTCTCAAACTGCCATATTGTTTTTAATAATTAGGCAATGTATTATATTTTTCAAAGAGTGAGGAAAATGGGAATATCAGGTTATGATATGTAATTCTGTCAAAGATATTATGTTAATAGTTTACATATTTTCCTAATCAAAGTGACATTTACTTTCTTCCATATTTGTAAACCAAAGTCGCAGACCTGTCCTTCTCCCTTTACTTTTTGGATTATGGCAGAGATTTTTTTAATCACGTTTCAGTAAACCGATTGACGATGTTATTAGTGATACCAAATTTGTGATTTGGAATCTTAACTTCAGAATATTCCCTTAGACCGTAGTATATTTTTTTTGTAAGGCCTCTCGACAGATGAATTATTTAACTGTTTCGGGGAAGGTGATATGAGGGGTCCTCACAAACCACACGTCTTCATCTGCAGGATAAAATGATTAACCCAAGGCAACGCCGATGTTTGTTCAATGTTCTGTAACATATCACATCAGCGGTGTGATAGAATAAACAACCATGTGGAATTGGAAGGTGTGATGGTGTCCAAGCAAATCATCATTTGTGAGGGGACCAAGGGAGGAAGAAATGGACTAAGCTTATCTACCCCCTCTTTTCCTGTATTTTACTATTTTGCATTAGTGACGGTGGTACATCTTGCCATATGTTACCGTATCCGGTCAGTAATGTATTTACGCTATATGAATTTAACACAGACAAAACAAATTATGCAATCTTGTTTCTCTACTGACAAATGGTTGATTAATTTTGGTTCTGTTCCAAAAGGTGCTACGTACATTGCACTTAAGAAATGTGAGAGATACATGCTTGATTTTGTTTTCATTTCAAGTTCATAGTTTGATAGTTTTCTTGTATTGTTCAATAAATCAAATAATGTACATATTGTACAGCTCGTCCGTGTCTCTTACTTATGAACATATACATCTTTTTTGTGTATTGATATGCAAGTACATCCTGTCGACCCAGGTAATGTAAATGGGTACCTGGCAGGAATGAATTCCTTTAAACCCCACAGGAGAATATTATACAAATCCTGAATGAACGTATTTTTCTTTTCATAATAATCCACGGAACGAGTGGGCGAGCGTTTAGGGGCCAACATCAAAATGAAGAAAAAAAATGTTTCATAGCAGTCTATAATTGCAACAAAAAACACTGCAAATAACAAATAACGATTGTTTTCATTTTTGAAACAGTAAAATACAGCCCCAATTATGTACTTAAAGAGTGTCGAGATTTGTGACGTTACTCAAGGGACCGAATTAGCATTGGGAGGCGATGTCCCTTAACACTTTCAGAGCCTATTTCGTCGTCTCTTCTTCTTCACGCATTTTTCTCACCAGTGTCATGGTAACTGTTAGATCTGTTGCATCACTCTACATTTTGGACATGGTTTTACATTGATGAAAAATGCAGCGTTATACAACAAAAAATAAATGAATAGGTTTAAGCTTCACTAAGTAAGGAAGACGCCATTGTACATTCAACTTCACACCCCAAACATGTGCAGCATTTCAATCCGGAACGAACATCGTTTATTCTACTGTTCGACGGGTTTTCCAGCGTTTTTTAAATCGATAATATATCCTTGATGTGAATGTTTCCAAACAAACGACTATTGTCATCATAATCACTTCCCTTGTAAAATGGTGTGAAAAACATTCATGTTTAAAATCAATCAAACTCTTATAATCGAGAAATAGTTGCACTAAAATGTTTTTTATTAGTTATAGGTCGGTGTCTGCTTTAATACATAGGATTGATCAATGATGTGACGTCATAAGCTAAAATTCCTACGGAGCTCGTTTATCCAAAATCATGACAGGTGTTTTTTTTTGTATTTGTATCAATATTTTGATTGTCCAATACGCAGTTTACGTAAGACTTATACGAGTGTCATATACAAGCTTCCTGGTTTAAAGTGATAAATTAGTTGGCCATACTTGTAATGTCAATGAATGTCTACTTTTACTCCATTTCTTTCAATTCATTTAATCATCGATCTTGTACAGGTGAGTTGCATATTATCAGGTAGCTAGAATGAAGGGAAATAATTACTACTACTACTACTACTACTACTACTACTACTACTACTACTAATACTACTACTTATGATAATGATCATAAAGATACTACTACTACTAATAACAATATTAATAATAATATTATTATTAATAATAATAATATTAATGAAATTTATAATATAATAATATAAGTAATGATAATAATAATTATATCAATAAAATCAATAATGATAATAATAATAATAATAATAATAATAATAATAATAATAATAATAATAATAATAATAGTGCTTACTTGTTGTAAAGGACTACATCAGGCATCCATACTAGTTCCGATGCGATCTTCAAGTCTGTAATGTTGCCATACACTGCAGGGTCCCACATCATGAACTCATCTTTCCAATTCTAGAGTACAAAAAAACAAAAAAACAAAAACAAAAACAAAAACACAAACATGTCAAATTTGCATGAGACCAATGTTGCACGGACGCAATGTCTTGTTCAGCCCAAATACTTTTCCGTATCTAAATATTGCGAGCGAGAAAAGCAGGGAATCACGGGTTTTAATAGTAACAATGTAATTTATGTTGAAAATATACTGGAGAAGACAATAACAAAATCACATTGTATTACGTCGCTATTCACGTATAGGAATCTAGTGCATTTTCAAAGTTCTCACAGGCTGCCTTACCCCCCCCCCCCCCCCCCCACACCTATGGGTAATATATTTTTTTAGTTCGGAGATGGGGTAAACAAAATTGTGTTTACGAGATTCGCGAAATCAGCTCGTCCTTTTTAAATGTCTCAAAAATTTCTCGTTATATATTCAAATCTTGCAACTCAAACCCTTATGCAAACTATTACATTTTGTCGTTTTACAGAAGGTTTGCGATCGTCGAGGAGCATGTTCTTGACGTATCGAACAGTATCCTTCGTAATGTTGATGCTCGATGAATATTTAATGTTCACCAAAAGGTCGCTGTTAAAAGGAGAATTGTATATTGAAAATATTTACATTAAGAGTACATTAGGAGGAAACGGACAAGCATTGTTAAAATGTTAATAAGGTACTTATACTTTCTTGAACAGTCATTCATCTTTATCTCTCCGAATAACGAATACAATATTAAAGGTCAGTAAACCCCTTTTACGGTTGCGGACTAATTTCTCAACTACTGTTCTCTCTACGACTTCAAGCTAATATTGAGCTCTGGTATGGGCATCGTATGTCGAGAGAACATGGTTATAATTCATTCTGGATTATTATCCTGCAGTAGAGTGACTGTGTGAACCAGTAGAATAAAAACAATCTCACTAAAACATGCTGGAAATCATCTTCAATGAAATTAAAAAAAACACTCTCATTTGCACAAGGTGACTTGTGTTAATAAGCACATGGTGTCGGGCCTACCTTCCTTGATTTCCTAATCTTTCTATGCTCATTACTTTTTAGCCCTTATACATGTTCTACCGAAATCGTTTGGCACATGTCATTTATTAGAAATCTTGAACATTCAGTGTAAATTTTGCTGGATTCTGTTGGAATTTATTTTCTTTCATTATCAGAACTCAAGTTTATCTTTAAACATACTACATTATTGTACTTGATCCCTTGACATTTAAAACAAAGACGCTAATAGAAACTCAATTCTGGAAGTCTTAATACTGAATTTTCCACAAAGTGCCACACCGCAGTTTTCCAACCACAGCTATGTGTCAATCGGAATATTACCGGAGATGGTTTACCCTTTGGAAAAAATGCAAGGAATATGTCACGGGCAACAATATTTATCATAAAACCAAGGTCCGTGCCGCAGTGGTCGAGTGGAAGACAGCTTTTTACAGGATCTTCTGAACATGTCAAGGCTTTGAGGGGTGTGACAACGCATTTCGGCGACATAATCATGAAGAGTAGGCGTTTCGTCGGTTCACACATGCATGCCTGTTTCCAAGCTCTGCGTTTTGGTGATGAAGCGGTGAGAATGTTAACCAGGGTTTCGAGTGTCGGAAAGAGGACCACAAGTTGTGGACCAAAAGAGGTCAAGACTAAACACTCTAGCACGCTCACGAATGCCAGTTCGGTACCTGGAGACTCCAGTAGGGGTACAACGGAGGGTTTCCCGATAGAATATTAGCCGGGCAACAAACCTGTCTAATGGTGTACAGGGTTACACGCTCAGCACTTGGTCTCGGTGCAGAGAGGGATACAGCGAGATTGGAAAATAAAACCTCCCATCCTACAACCCTACCGTATTTCATGCAGGGTAACACACAAAGTACTTATACTCAAGGTATTTATTCTGCAGATTAGAAAGGGAAGAATGTCTACCAGATTTCATACACATTTTACTCAAGAGCATAACTTAAAGTTAGGCATTGGTCTGCTAAGGAAATGCAAGAAACAACAAGTTAAAGGTACAGCGTGCCTCATTGATTCGACAAGAGTTATCAGGGACTCGATATATAGAACCTGCTTACCTATTATTTTGTTAGTTCAGACATTGGTTGTAATGTTCGCCTTAGACACTAGAAAATAAATGTTCAAATTTGCACCCTTAACTAAACATGACTACAAAAAAGGTGCAATCATTGAATCTAAAAAGTGCATCTAAAGGGCGCATGATGTGAGAGTCGAAAATTTAGAAAGATTAGATCTTATTCCTTCAGGTGTATGTGCTTCTACGGAGCAAATCTAAGCGTGTAGGCCTATTTCTTTAATTGTGTGTGATTCTAGGAAATCTGAAAATACGCTTCTAATACATTCTTTATAAAGCGAAAGAGCCTTAATGACTGAAGAGGCCCTTTAATGGATGCGATGATAATCATTAACATAGAGGAACCACTATTCTACAAAATGATTCAAACACATTCACGATGGTAAAAAAACCTAGAATGTGTATGAAGTGTCACACATATGACTTGCATTGCTCGTGATGCTCATACCTGATAGCCAGTGCCTGCTTATAGAGACAACAATGGAAAGAGAATCATGGACTAATTCATGGACTTAGAGTAGTTAATTATGGTCTTGTTAATTATGGTCTTTTTACCGAGGGTAGCCACAAATACGAGGACCATACTATTAATAATACCCAAGCGTTACAAGGTTTCCATTTAATACACCTGGCTTGAGAGACGGAACACCTCATCCAAGGATGTAATCACCGAGCAAGCTTCGAAGTTCGAACCCAAGACACCTGATACAGGAGTCGGAATCCTTTACAGATACACCACAGTGCTTCCATCATTTCCTTGGGTAGTCAATCAACTAGATAATGTTGACCGGAAAAGTTGTACAGACGAGGTGTGTATGTGTGTGTGTTGTATGTGTGTGTGTGCGTGTGTGTGTGGGTTTATAGTGTGAAACGGGGATAATCATACGAATACATAACTTCCAACTGGGGATTCAAATAAAAAGAATCTTTCTAAAAACACCTCAAATTCCAATATCCCCAATGTCAAAGTAAAAGATAGTTAAAGATAAATATCCCTAGTTGGCACGTTTTACCTGTATGTGTGTTTGTGTGTAAAAAAAAACTCGTCACAATGACGATGGTCAGGTGGTTATAGACTTTAGGGAGCTTTAATGGATTTATTGTTTTAATGACTTTTGCTAAAGCTCTCATTGTAAAAATTGTCTTGAGGATGTGCTACTGAGGAAAAGTAAGAAAATATTGTCATACCAGGAGAAGGTTGAACCCGCAATTGACTGTAATTTTACGACAAAACCGAACCCCCTTTAAGCTAATCAGTCTAATGTGCTTGTAATTTATGATGAATAAATAATGTGACTTTGGAATAAAATAAACATCCTTGAAATCTAATGATTTACTTTAAAAACAATTCACCTAGGAAATTAACTGAAAAAACAAGAAAAGAGACATTATAAGATAACCAATAATGATTTCAAAAAAGTTTGCAGCTCCCTTTGCCTAATAAGGAACCCCATGCCAATCAAGAACATGGATAAATGCATACACCACAAACGTTATTACGCCGTTGTCCTTGCGAGAAAAGGGTAATAACGTTTATGGTGTATGCATTGATCCATGTTCTTGATTGGCATACACCACAAATGTTATTACGCCGTTGTCCTTGCGAGAAAAGGGTAATCTATATTCGCATCGGGGTGATAGTAATTACGGAAATGCTTCAGAAATGTATATTTGCACCAAAATACCGTATGTGATATTTGCTTTCGTCATAAAAGTCGTCAGCAAATAGAAAAGAGGTGATGGGATAGTGGTTTAGAGCCGAGTGAACATGGTACATTGACAACATATTCTGTCCAGGACTCTGTATCAATTCCCCGTTCTATCCCACGATACATTTTCTTCGAAAGGGGTTTAGATGATACTCTAAATACCCCAAGGTTGAACCACTGTTTATTAGCTGACAAGATACTTTGGTTTACGTTACAAGAAGACATGTCGGACCCTCAGGAACTCGTCCACACAAAAAATGAACTTCAAAATAAAAGCACTTCACCATTATGTTTCCGGAGGCTTGATATCCCTTACAGGCTTCACGCCTCCAATAACGGATCAATAAGGCAAATTTGGCTACTCGATCCGACTGGTTTCTTTTTAAGCGCGAAAAGGTTGGATGTGGCTGAAGTATCTAGGGTAACGTGTCGTCTGATTGCCTCCGTAGCTGCGCTTCTGAAAAAAGACGGGATTCTGCCTCGACAAGAGCACACAAAATGATAAGAGCAAAATTGCAAGAGTGATGTGTCGCTGTCACGTTGGAAACAGGTGAATTTTAATACTATGGGATTGAACAGGCATCTTCCCACAGCTCAGCTTTCATACTTTGTATGAAGGATACTCTCTTCGTAGGTTTTTCTTGGGTGAGAAGCAGAGTTCACACAATTCCCTCGTCTGCAAGTTTTCCCCTTTGCCGTTTGTTCCATCTTTATTTACTTCCATTGACTCCTCGTCATCTTAAACACTTCCAACATTAACAAAGAGAATCCCCCCAAACCGAGGTTAATACAAGAAGAGAAGAAGTTTGTTCAGGTAAGCTAAAATAAATGATTGTACATGACAAATAGAAAGAAAACATAGACTTGGATTCTTTGAATACGCATATTAGATAAATGATTTATAATGTTACTTTCATGGTGATTTGGCATCCATTACAGTTATGCAATAATTCAAACCAACAGCCGCCTTTAGCGCAGATGCAACTCCCCGAGAACCCAAGGTCGCAAACAGTGTTTACCCTAATTAATCCTTGTTTATGATACACCGTTATACCTCTATTTCAGAGAAGGGTGCACAAAATGTGCAGGTTGGATATGGAAAGTTCAATGTATGTTTTGACGTCCTTATTGGATGTCTTTATCGATGGTTTCAGACTTCCAGCCTGCAGTAAACAATATATATCACCATGGAGATAATGGCGAGTACTTTAATTTACACAATAAAAAAAAAAATCAAAATGTGGTAGTCTCAATCTTTATCTGAAAATGTATCAAAGTAGATTAAGTTGAACATTTATTTGGTTGAAATGTTTGTTAAAGAGGTAAATGTTGTTGTAGAGGCAAAGAAAGTAATACTTACAAAAGTCATCCAGACATTTACTTTCAGGGTCTGCATCCTTTCGTCCTGCAAAAACAAATGACAAAGGAGACGGGAAATTTTGTTAAAGGTTGAAGGTTAAACATGGACAATGCCGTTCATAAGTTAACACATTACTTATCATATTACGATTATTTAAGGATGAAGATGCGTAATAAAAAAGCACATCCGGGACACATGCTACACGATAAGTGTAAACAAAGAATTTCACTTTTTTTTTAACCCTGATGATAGCTCAAATAGGTTGTCAGAAGTCCCTCGATGGCCGTCGTTCTCTAGAGTCTACTAAAAAAAAACTTTCATAAAGCTTGCTATCAAGACCGAAATTGTCGGTCGCATGGGTTTTAGTCTTCACAGGTTTAGTACAATATATTTAAACATATACACAAACACATTTCTAGTGGTACAAAAAGTGAATTGCCATGTAAGACGCTTTCTTTCATTTTCATTCCCCAAAATGGAACCTTTGATGAATTATTTCATCATGATAGTCACGTGATAAGCAAGACAGCTTATTCGTAATATGTTTTCATCGGAGAACACTTAAATTGTTTGTGTCTTCATGACGAAGACGGTGTTTTTTTTTGTCACACGGAAACCCTATTGTAAAGGCATTCATAACATCCAGCAGATTAGAGGGCTCTCAAGTAAATGCACTCTTGCTGAGCGATGCGTTCCAATTTTTCAACTTCGACGGCATCTTTCGCACTGCTACATTATTAGGCGATTTCCCGCGCAGTAATCGGAATTGCATGCATATAGGCATCGTGTGGAGTTTGACGTCTTATTCTAAGCGACAGACAGCGCTGCTGCGCGAAGCGTCTGGGGGATGTTCTTGTGCAATGAAGTAAAATGATTGGTTGGGGAAACATTCCGGCAAGTGTCCTCTTAAATCACGATTACCTTAGCTCCTGGCGGGAAGCTAGATGTTACCACTTATCTACCGAGGCTGACAGATACCTATGCATACGACGGAAAAGGTTTTAGATACTATATGTTTCTGCCAATTTCATTAGAAATATCTGTTATGCTTAATTTATAACGCGCATGCACATGAATATTTCATTTTTTAGTCATTTTATTCATTGAAAAAACAACACGTTTTGACAAGACAGGTGATAACAGTAGACTGGAACATTTGGTACTTTTGTTAAACTATCACGTTGCGCGTGTGAGTTTTGATTTGTTTTTTCTCAATTGATTTGTATAAAATACTGATTTATGAAACAGAAATTGATTTTCAGGAAAAGGTCTTAAGGCCATGCGTACAAATCCCTGACTTTTCCCGGATTTCATATTGATTTTTTATAACTGTCTATTTTGTATAGGTCATGTTATGAATTACAAGCATATACATATTTATTCATGATTTCTATGAAATGAAAACACCCGATTATTCTTATTTATTCAATATAACACTGTTTGACAGTTCAGAATAAGGGCTTCTAGTCTGTAAAAAAGGTAAGATGTGTTGCCTGCATTCACCTACCATTAAATATACCTATCCACCTAACTCTATAGTATTAGTAGTATTTTGTCACGGGGGAGAAAGGGGAGGGCGATGTAGATATGGGGCAGTTGAAGCGAGCCTCTTCCAGAGGTCTCTAATGACTTCTACTACAAGCGATTTGGTTCAGTGTCAATATTGAACGAGAACCCATTTATTCGAGATTTTAACAGCTTTTCTCTCCCGTCCATTAGGGGACTGGGAGGGCGATCAGAGGAAATATCAGTTACATGTCGTCTTTTTACTAAATTATATGTCGGCTTAGAATTCCGATGCTCCGATGATGCAAAGGTACGTCAATTTTAAAAAGGGTTATTTTGAAGTTTTTTTTATTCCGAAGGTCCTGGATTTCGATGGTTTATAATTCAGAAAATAAAGACGAGTCCATAATTACGAAAATGAAACAGGGTTCATAATTTCAAATTGTAATAAGGTTACAAAGGTTCAAAAGTTTCCACAAAGAAAAGATTGATGTTGTTGTTGTTGTTGTTGGTGTCGTCGACATTGTTGTTTTAATATCATATCCAAATAAAAGTAAATTGCATGTGCAATAAATCTAAAAGGTAAAAAGGTGAACTTCTCTATTTTGGGGAAAATAAAAGGTTACAAATCGGAGATAGAATAAAAGAAAAATGATGCATAGCTACATATACATGATAACATACATATTTTAGTTTTTAAATCGAAATCGAAAAGGTAAAGAGGTGAAGTTCTTTTTAACATTCTCATGTATCAAGAAAATATTTTTGTTGCTACTAAATGTCTTGTGTTGAGGCTATTGATATTATCTATTATGAGAATATCGATTTTGCCATCTCTTCCTTGCGCGCGAGATGAAAAGTGATCATATCACAATCAATATTTGTCTATCACAAGGCAGGTGCTTTATAATCTATAACTGTTTCTTTATTTTAACCCGCATTCCAAGTGGCATTACGCTTTCGTGCACAACCCCCATCGCTCTTTCTGCTGGATGAACAAAAGCCATTGGCGCTTCATTCCTATATTGCGCCGGAGGAAACCACTTGTTAAAGATAACGATGAGCACTGATTGTATGATAGCACTTCGAAATAAATTGTCTATTAGTTGTTTGGAGAGTTTGATTTTGTAGGGCATAATAATGATTGCCTTTTGTATGGTTTAGAATTATTAAGCTTTGTTCATACTTCAGACACGACGTGGCAAAACCGCGGCGGTTTTTTAATTTGTTTTATAATGAAGTAAAGTGTAATATGCTTCATGATTTTGTATCGTACACCACATAGCTCGCTGAATACGTACAGAACCTTTGTTGCGCGCCTTTGCCTTTCATGTACACGTCTTTAACACCCAAAAGAGGATCACGGCGGCTTTTTTCTGCGGTGGTTATACTGCGTTATAGATTTGTTTTAGAATGATAACGAATAGATTAAATCTTACTGAAAATCACATACATTGGAAAACACTGAATGCCACTTGGATAATAGTATGTGGTACTCCGCAGACATGTGGAATGAAATGAATTAGATCGTAGCCCAAGTTTTTGCCTATTGTCACTTACACTTTGAATATCAAGCCACTTCATCATTACTCTTAACTAGACCATATTGCTAATATTTTTTTTCCACACAACACTAACATAAATAAAGTTTGAGAAAGCTCATAATTATCTATTTCACCTGTACCAGAACGCAACCTTTCCTTGATCACATTTCGGCAGTGAGGATACAACCATCAACGCGTTGCATCACAGCCTTTATGGATGCGGGATGAAAGATGAATCTAAACACGAGAGATGGAAATCGACGCTTTTGTGAATCCAAAAAATCCTTGAGGTATGCAATACGTGAAGCCGCTCCCAGCCTCCCAGACGCGGACTCCTGATATATATGTGAACAGGTAAACCTTACACGGCCTGAAAGGACATTTTTTAAAGGAATACAAGAACATCCTTTTTCGTTCAGAGCGGAAATAATGCCTCTTTATTTCAATCAGTTTGCTTTATGGAATAAACTTGAGAGAAGAAAATACCACGATTTAATCATGTTGCGTCATCTTCCAGAGAGACCACTTGATCTAATTAAGTATTTATTTTCTCTCCTGATGCTAACCAACTTGGTTGGAGTAATATTTCGTTATAGCGTTCACAATTTGACATGGTGCGATTCACATCTGTATATACACATGAACATCTCAGAATGGTATAATTTTGGTATTATATGTTTGTTCATACTGCGCGTCATTTACTAGTCGTTCGAATCTTTAAAAGAAAACGTAGGTACAATTACAAATTGGAAATGACGCTAAATTTAGAGGCATAATCTAAACTTGAATCAAGGATGAAAATCGGTTGTTTGCCTTTCAATTGAATTAAAAACAATAATGTGGCCTCAAGCATTTGTTTCTTGGGTCATACTTATATGTCATTTCATACCGACAGGGGTTCCGGCAATGTCGATTCAAGCAAGACAGGAAGCTGTTCATAATCGAGACTCTAAATTCGACAAACAAAACTATTCTGTGAGAAATTATCTCCTCGAAAATCATTTCAATGCCAGAACCTTCAGATAAGCACCAAGTAGCCGCAGGTTTGAAAGTCAGTTTATAATATGAATAAATCGCTCTTACACAAACACATTCTATTTACAGTCAGTATGAGTCAATGATCGACCGAGTACAGATTTTTTTTATGAGATTCGGTATGTTGGAGGACACGGCGGGAATTTAGAGTAGGTAATTCGATATGACTTTTAAACCGGAGACGGTGGTCTATAGAGCACTCGAATTCTCCGGGAGACTAAAAAACGGTGGGTGCAAACAGTTTTCATTATCTCCGAAACACTTGATTTTGAACGCATCCTTGCGCCAAACCAGCTTGTGCCCGTTGCGCACGATGTGTCATTTGCTAACTTAGGCCTGCGTCAGAATGACGTCATAAGCAAGGTGAATGCGAAATGGTTATCGCAGCATTGCGTTGGGTTATTGGCTCATGCACAAAACGCCTTTGTAGACTTGATAAGCGTAGGTAATAGGGACTTTTAAATTTACACGACAAGAACATGGACTGCCACTTGTGACATCGTTTTAAGGCAAAGTGACGTCCATTTAAGGCACTGGCAGTGCCCGGTAGTGCCTTAAAAGTAAGTCACATTGCCTTGAAAGGATGTATCACGTGGCAGTCCACGTTCTCGTCGTGTAAATATAAAATTCCCTAATAACGATAACGGAATGACGTCTCGTGTGGAAAAGGCTTTACAGTCTGGTTCTGTGTAACGGGAAAGGAACTCACTCCGTCCTAAAGATCAACTGCCTCCCCTTTGTATAACAAAAATGCAACATTTATCAATACAAGCATACGCTTCATTAGCATATAATTAGTTCATTAAATGTTGATTTTCAGGATTGCTCTTTTTAATATTTAAAAAAAAAGTAGAATTTAACGTTTAATAATTGTCATTTGCAAGCCCACGAGCATAATAAGTGCATGTTAAGATCCCCCGTAAAAAGGAGTACAATCGGGTTAGGTCAATAGTTTAATTG